AGGATCCTTGGCAAGTTTTCTCTGAGCCTTTCCCACTTGTAAAATGGTAAGAATACATCCTCAGGGTCATTTTGCAGATTATACTGGAGTATTTGGGAAAGCACTGGGCTCAATACATTGAAAAAACCTTTCTCATGCTAAGGGGTTGACTGGGGGGCCGGCTGGACACTGATGTTGCTTTGCTACTCTAAGTGCGGTCCAGGGACTAGAACACTGGGATAGCCTAGGAACTTGTTAGAAATTGATAATCTCGAGTGCCACTCCGGACCCACTCAATCAGCATCTGCATCTCCACAAGATCCCCAGTGATTCATAAAGTTTGACAGGACCTGAAATTCTGCATTTCTAACAAGGCTCATGTGGGTAGCAGTAACTTAGATGAGAAACTGAGAAAGGGTGGGATGTTGATGACATACTGGCAAGGATGGGTTTGCAAATGATTTGGGTTTTCCCAGTGTTTGCTGCATCCAGATAACAGTGACTTCCTCTTGGCATGAAATTGAACTCCAGTGGGAACTTGCTCCAGCACAGACGAGCCAAACCACTAATCTGAATAAATAAGCATCAATTTTATTGAATCATGAATAATTTAAGACTGGTACAATCATCAGCTTTATTCTCTATGATGTGGGGCATGATCTCCAGCCGATCATTGGCAAATCCAAAAACCTCATGACAAATGAAAATTAAATAGGGCGGGAGGAAAGGAGGAAGCAGGGGGAAGATGGAAACATACCGTACACAAAATACTCAATTCCTAGTTTTCTCTTTAAAAATGGCTAGAAAAAATTCATCAAAATGCAGCACTTTGATCAATTATTTACAATTTCTATGTTACAATGAGAAAATGTACATCTTATAGAACATATTTCATAAACCGCTCCACTGGAAACAACTAGATCAAAACAGCAAACCTCCCATTTAATATCCACAAAGTTGGATTATTTTTCCTTTTGAAGTAGATTCGCTACTATCCAATTTGAATACATTGGATTCAAAGTTTGAATTTTGAAGTTTAAGCATCAAACAATAAAATTAAAAATGTCCCTTAGATACAACAAAGGTCTAGGCAAGTCTTGTTCCTTGTCCCGCCCCCACCCCTTTCCCAACCTTAAATTAAAAGGTATTCCCATCTCATTTATGGCCTGTAGAATTCTTGGCGGTTTGGGAAGAAAACTTTTGGCTTCCATTGGTAACTCAACATAAATGTTGCATAGAATTTCATACATTTCAAAATTAGCCTAACTGTAGAAAAAGGCAAAATGGAAGCATTTTAGACAGAGCCCTAAATGAGTACAAAGTCACTTTGTCAAAGGTGAGTGACACTAAAGTAAAAATATGATCAAAATGAGAAACGTGCATATTAGACAACCCTGCTTCCCGAAATTTTAGGAAGGACACTGAGTTGTGAATCCCACAAGGGCTACGCTATTTCAAGTCACTGTTCACCCATCAGGCAGCACCAGGAACAGAGGTCTCAGTTCTGAGCCTGGGCCCAGTGTGGGAGGGAAGTCTGTGGGAGAGGCGAGAAGAGAGAGAGACGGGAGGGTGTCGTTTTAAAAAAAAAAAGTTTCAAACAATATTGGCAGCAGGTGTCTACTCACAAGGTGACTGGGAAAACTGCCCACGAGGAGAAGTCAAATTTACCTTCTCCCAAATTCACAGTATGAGAGTGTAAGGTCATTGCTGGGAGATAAACTGTCTGAGAAGGGCCACCCTTCAGGTTTACCAGAAGGCTCAGGGTTTGGCCCACCTGGTCACAGGCTAAATATATGGTTTAAAAGTTTTAATAAAAACAATAGAGTAAGACACACTCACACCCAGACGACTAAGGAAAGCTAAGTGGACAGAGTCTGAGTTTACTGAGATTAAAAAGCAGGGACAGTGTTGAAAGGTTTTCTATTCACCAGTTAGTGGGGCACATTCCCCTTTTCTTTTCACAAAAGAAGAAAATGGTGTCAATTCCATGTGAAATGAGCAGTTTTAGGTCAAGCTCTTATAGTAAGAAAATAAGGAAAAAATGCCAAGAGATAAACCTTCGGAAATAGAAATGCTAAAGATGGAATAAAAACCCTGATCATTAACAAAGACACCCTCACTGGGGTCCGATAGAGATTCTCTTTATAAAACAGAAATAAACAACTTGAAGATTTACCACACTCTGTAAAGACTAAAGATGGAATAAAAACCCTGATCATTAACAAAGACACCCTCACTGGGGTCCGATAGAGAGTCTCTTTATAAAACAGAAATAAACAACTTGAAGATTTACCACACTCTGTAAAGAAAATACCAGTATGTTGAAAACATAGCTGACTGGATTTCTACTAGGGCATGTACCAGCAATGTCATGTAGACTTGGAGGAAACTTTGCCTTTTCCTGCATAAGACAGATCACTGTCCAGTCAGGTTGTTAGCTGGAGACTGATAAAAACCTAAGACATGGATTTTTTTTTCCTTTTTCTTTATCCCATGGTCACATATCCACACAAATGAGTCTTTTGGATGAGAAAAGTCACAGCAACGTGAATCTTCTAATGAATAGATGACTTTTTAGCCCTGTTTGCTTTGATGGGGAAAACAAAACTACAAACCCGAGGCAGGCAGGCAGGCCACTCAGGTAAACGAACACAGAGAATACAAAACCAGTAAGGCATCACTTTGGGAAGGTCAGCACCGAAGAAGTCAGGCCAGGCTCGTCAGGATGAAGACCGGGCCAGGGCTTCTGGGCGGGGGCGACTGCCCCCTCCTTGTTGAGCTGCGTCACGTTGGTTCTGAGGAAAGTGCAAGTCTTTTGCAAGGTGACCTCACCCCACCTGAAGTTGGGGCTGGGACGCTTGAGGGGTCGATGTGCGTGCTAAACCCTCAAGGATGAGAAGGAAAGGCAAGGTCCATGGCTCTCCCATGCACTGAGGACCGGGTCCTCACCCACTGGAAAGGACACCCCTGGCCCCAGCAGGAGGAGGTGAACGCATAGAACTGTGAGGATGGACAAAGAAAAATCAAAACTGAGCACGACTCAACTCCTGTGGTTCTCACTTTCACCAAAGGATTGACTCTGACCAAGGAGGGAAGGAGAAAAATCTTCAAAACCAAGACAGAAAGGGAGAAACTCAACCTCATTTTAAAGGGGTATCAGTTCTCCAAAGTAGAATAATTCTCACTCTACACAGTGTTTGCTGAAAAAAAAACCCGATTCATTTACATGTAAGGAAACAGACATGTGCTGTTCCGCACCGCTCGCCACACCTGCTCACTCTCATGCTCGCTCCACTCGCTCTCATGAATTCATCAGAGGCTGATGAACCTCAAAGGGGTGGATGAATGGGAACAGGCAAAATACCTCTTGGGTAAGGAGAGCACCATTAAAAAAAAAAAAAAAAAGAAAGACGCACCATTTATTTTCTGCGAAGGTTTCCCTGTGTCGTAGCTCTGTAGCGTGTTGAAGGTGACCAAAGCAAGTGCCCCAGTTAGCACCGTTCTGTGTGTGGCCGGCTGGGTAAGGGGCAGGTTGGCTGTGGGGGCCTGGCGGTGAGACCCAGTCTGGAGGGTCCGTGCTGAGGGCAAGCCACGCTGCCTATGTTTCCAACTCTGCTCTAGTCTTTTCTGTCTTTTGGCAGCTTATGGCAGGATGCTGTTTAGTTTTAGAGCTTTGCATGGGTTCTCTTTATTTTTTCTCTTTTCATTTCAACGGTGATGATCCTTTCCCGAGAAGTATCTTCAGTGTCTTAGGGAGGTCACAGCAACAAGGCAAAACAATAATTAAGGTAAAACAGAAGTAGTGCGGTTCTCACTGTGGAAGGAAGCGGTCCCCAGGTGGCTGGCCCAGGGTGCCTGCACCCAGGTCGAGGTGGAAGGATGAGGGGTCTTGGTGTTCCTGCAACACTAAAGCTGCAGCTGGGGGCTGGCTCAGGAAGTCATCTTCAGGATCATGTGGTGGATGCAGGTGGAATGGGGGTAGGAGAGAAGGTGGACTGGCTTCATGGCCAGGCTGTCACAGAGTAGATTCCAAGGATGAGTCTAGTATATCATCGTGGTGGCTGTTGCTGTTGGAGTCGCTGTCATAGCTCTGGGGGCTGGAGTAGTTGGCTGCTTCCTGCAGCCTCATCAGCATGTTCATCTGGAGAAAGAACGGAGAAGCATGAGAAGCTTTCAGGGTAGTCAGCCGCCCATCCTGGCCTCTTAGAAGCTCATGCCACCTCCTTTAGACCCAACCTGGGATTGTAGCCCACAACGGAGGCAGTGGACAAGGGCATGGTCTCTGGGCCACGCTTCCAGGGGTCAAATCCCAGCTCTGCCACTTATTAGCTGCATGACCTTAGATAAGTTACTTAACTTCTTTGTGTTTGTTTCTTGATTGATCAAATATGACTAATAATAGTAATTGTCCTATAATGTTATGGTGTGGATTGAGTTAATATGTATAGAGCAGTGAAAACAAAATAGAAATTCCCCTATAAATATCATATTTATTTTTTATTTGGGAGGGGCACACCTTACCCAGGCATAGCTCTAGGCCTGGGTAAAGATGCTGGTCAAATGCCCCTGCTCCTGGAACATGGGCATTGGCTTTGCTGATGTCTGCAGCACATGGAGTCCCCTTTGATGGGCATCAAGTCCACCTGTACTCCTGGCTCTGGCCAGAGGTCAGCCTGCAGCTGACGGTGCTCCAACCCCTGTCAAAGCTTTGGAGGGGAGAGAGATCACCAGTAGAGCAGAGCCTCAGAGTGCAGAGAGGCCTGGATTACGATTTGGGAATCTTTGGATAAATAACCTAAAGCACCTGAGCCACCAGTTCCTCATCGGCAGAATGGGGAGAAGAGCATCTCCTATCTTACAGTGGTGAAGTAGGGAATAAAATGACATGAAATCCTCAGAAGAGAGGCTGGTCTGACACACAGTTAAGTGCTTAATAAATGTGATCTGTTGTCATCATCTAACCTAAAGAGTTTAGAGACAGTGTTCTTTAAGATTCAAGGATTCATGTAAATTCCTGGTTTATATTCTATTGGTCATTTGTTTGGGAGTGGAAAGGGGAAACTATAAGCTGCTTTTATTTTATTTATAACTATAAATTGTGTTTGTGTATTTTATATTTTATATAGCAAGTAAGTTAGGAAGACAGGGCCTCTTTGAGCTAAGGCTGAGATGTGGTGCAGCTGAGCCTGAAATCCAGCTGCTTCCTGGCCAGCTGCCCTTCAAGGTGCTTTGCAGAGTCTCCCTGGATGAGCCAGGCCACAGAAGCACCATGACCTGGTGCCCATCTGCACAGCCATATCCAGGGAACAGATGAAATTGAAGTACAATGGACAATCCTTGGCAGTGAGATTATTTATTCACTCATCAAACATTCTGGTGTTTCCATAGTATATGGTTCTGGAACGAAAACAAGGAAGTCCGTTCTCATGAAGGTCTCAGTCTCATGAAGCAGAGATGTTAGTAAATAAGGAAGCTATTATAATACAGACTCGTTGCCCTGGACAGAGAGAACAAGACTGGGAGAAATACCAAATATCTAACTTGGTAGACAGGGGTGGCTGGATCGGCACAGCTCATTTCTGGGGGCCTAAGGCTGAAATTCTGTGTAACTGTTCCAAGAACCCAGGTCCTATCTAAGAGCTTTCTGTGTTCAACCAGCGATACAAGTATTACTGCCTATGAAAATACTGTCTGGGGATGGGCTAGCCATTCTTTCCTCTACATAGCCTAAATTCTATTTTTATGTAAGTTAAGACCTCATGAACTTGCCCCCACAAAAAAACAGCCCCATGACTTTGGCTTTCAGCAATGGTAACATTAAAAATGGCTGTTTAAAGGATGTTTATTTCCTCTGTAAGACCATTGTCGTAAATACTGCAAACAAGCTTACACACATAAACAAAAGTAATTAAATCCTTTAAAAATAAAGTTCCCAGTAAAATCCTCAAAAGGACCACAGCTACCTCCCACCAATCAGCGGGATGGTAGACAACCCAAATCGCCTATTTTTATTTATTTTTTTATCTAGCAAATCAACTCATCCCTAGGATATCAGTTGTCTTTTAATCCTGCTACACCTCTTATGAATATTTTCTTTCATTAGGTAATGCAAATAATATTCTCAATTGTGTTTTTCTTTTCACCATAGCTGCAAAAGAAGCTGGGGGCTAAATTTAAGGCATGATAATAGTTATTTAACTATGGGAGATTTTGGTATATTTACTTCCTCATTTCACAGCACATTTGATCTGTTAGGTTTAATTTAGCAGCATGACTATGTATGGGTCTTATATTGGTAGAGGGCACTATATGAGGGTACCGCAAAAAGTTCATGGAAAAACAATTGAAAGATAATACAAATCTTTCTAGAACTTTCTGAAGTGCTCTTGTACAACTGATTAGAAGTGCAGTTGTCACTGGCCCAGGTGCTTCTTCTTAAAGGGCTTTTATTGCTTTAGCAATGGCAGAGTAAATAAAAAGCTGAAGCAGCATTAAAGACTTCATTCATCTCGCTGGACATGGGAACCCTTGCCCTCCATGAATCCCTCCTGCCCTCAAACCTCTCCCTGCCTGTGCTCCTGATCATTTGGCTTGGGCTTCTCATCTTTAGCACTCTCTTCCTCTGCTTAGTTATTTGTGAGAGAGATCAAGGCAACAGGATAGTACACGATAAAGGTGGCATCTCAAATCAGGGGCAAAAAGTAGTGTAGAGACATAAGTACAGGGACATTTAGGGGGGAAATCAAATTCATAACCATTTCTCTTATACTAGAAAAAGTTCCAGAGGGGTTAAAGGCTTTAGTGAAAAACTAAAATCTTGGAAGAACATATTGGCAAAAATGCCCCTAATCTTGGGGTGGCTCCGGCCTTCCAAAGCAAGGCCGTGATTAGACACCTTCATATTTCCAGAGTGCCTTACATCAATGCCCAATATACACTAAGTGTTCAATGAATGCTGCTTTGGGAACTGAGAACTCACCAGTGGGTCTCCTTCAGCATCACTGGGGGGCACCTGCTTGCTTGTTGACCCCTCCCGAGGCATGGAGTAGCCATCAAAGCCAACATCTTCAGGCCGTAGCTGCAGCAATGGAGGCCACTCGTGCTGCTGTGGGCTGGCTGCCCATGGATACGTGTCCATCACCCACTTGGCAGGATCCTCCCAGGGGGCGCGCCTTCCATAGAGCTAAAAACAGGCAAAGAAGGAACAGTTGGGAAGTGGGCCAAGACCTCTTTTGCAGCCCTGATTTTGCAGCTTTCTGGAAAACTCCTAAAATGCAGTATTATGTCTCCCCTAATGAAGTAATAACACTTCCAGAGTTCTATCCTAAGGAAGTCATCCAAGATGCAAACAGCGGAAGTGGGCCAAGACCTCTTTTGCAGCCCTGATTTTGCAGCTTTCTGGAAAACTCCTAAAACGCAGCATTATGTCTCCCCTAATGAAGTAATAACACTTCCAGAGTTCTATCCTAAGGAAGTCATCCAAGATGCAAACAGCTCAACTCATAACTTAGAGCATGGGCTTTGGAGTCAGGTTGACCTGGGTTCATATCCTAGCTCTGCCACTGACTCACTGTGTAACCCCAAAGTCTAAGACGTGGTGATCCAATTTGAAAAACTGGCTCTGGGGAAAAAAACTCAAAAACCTGATTTGAAACATTTGCCAATTTCTAAGGTATTAATACTCCCACCATGGTTGATTTCATACTACCCATGATGTTACTGAATGTGGAGTTGGAAAGAGGTGCTACCAGCTTCCATGAGCGAGCTCTAGTACCCCATTCAGCGCACCCATCCTAATACCTCTTAAGAGTACTGGCTGCTGGGCATCAGCACTGAAGGCAGAGGTCACAAACCACCCTAGTTCTAGAAAACTCTATTTCTTGAGGTGGGTCTGACTCTCAGAGCCCCTCTATGGAAGCACCACTTTCAAAACAGCTAATTGCTAACAGAGGTGTATTGGGTAACGGAATTATGAGTGCTTTTCCCCCATCAAATATTTCTCAAAATTGTCCATAATAACTAACTTTCTCTTAAAACTGTATTATCACTTAATTTAGAATAAGACCAACACCATGCCTCTAAGCTCCTTATGTCTTAGTATATAATGACAAAATGATTTTAGTGACTATTACCGGCAATTTCAAGAAACATATACATTCTTTAAAGAACAAAAACCTAGGCTGGGCCACTTCCCGAGGTGAGGCTCTGTATATCACGTAGCTAGCTGTAGTCTTTATGCCTTTTCTCTTTACCACCACTACCACATCTTACAGCTTACTATGCGCCAGGTACCATAAGAAGCACTTTATAAACATCTTGTTAAACGACTGTGTGACTCCAAAAGGAAGTATTACCATCGTGTTTACAAATGAGGAGACAGGTCCAGGAAGGAGAGGAGCCAGAATTGGAAACCAAGTCTGTCCAATTCCATAGACCAGTGATATCGAGCAGATGGAATAGGTTGTGCTCACCCAGGGCAGTGCCATCTAAAGGCAGCCCCTCTAGGAAGTACAGTGTCTAAAGACTCCTGAACCACGTGGCTGCAGTGGGGCTCCAGGGTGAAATAACTTCTGGGCCACAGCTTGTCTGTTCCCTCTGCCCTCCTGGTAATCTTCTAGATGATAGGGGAAAGACAGCGGTGCTACAGTAGAACAGAGCTGAGCTCTGAATTAACAAGACCTTCTCTTTTCTGAGTCATAGGCCACATCAGCTGGAAGGAGACGGGGCCACCTAGCCCCACCCTTTAGTTACCAGACGGGGAAATTGGGGCCTGGAGAGGACAGCCAGTTGTGAAAGGATAGGGAGCTGAGCTGGATTCAAACCTAGGACACCAGCTTCCTTGTCTGGGCCTTTCCTTCTCCACCCCTCCTGACCGACTCCATTTCGAACCACAAGACTCAGCCAGATCTGAAGCAGTGAGATGCAGCACAGGCTGTGCACTAGCCATTGGCAGGGCAACCTGGGTGGGGCTCACTGTCCCCTCCGTGGTGTCCCCTCTCTCATGATCCCTGGAGCCACCTGGGCCCTTTGCATATGATTTCCATTCGGGAAGCCGCCCACCTTGCCCCCATCTCAGCCGGGCCCATTTCTCTGCATTAGTGCACCTCTTTCTCCTCTCAGGACACAGCCTCCTATGACCTCATCGCTTTCACAGATGCCAGCACCCCTCCCATCTAACACTGTGGCCTACCCTGTTCAAAGTCTTTCTTAACCCCGGGAAGCGGTGAGTCTCAAGCCTGGGAATCTGGTCTGGCACTCCACAGTCTGAGCAGGAAGGGATCGTGCGAGGGGGCATGTATTGGTGGGTACATACACATGCGCATCAGGGCAGGAGAGCCCCTAAAAGCAGCTGGGGAGATTTAGAGCAGAAGAGAGTAGCTTCAGATTAGAATGTTCCTGTAGTGTTCAGAAGCTTCTCCGTCCGAGGGCTGTCTTTCCCAAGCCAAAATTCACATATGTGAGGCTGAAGCAAACCCTCATGGTAGACAGATAACATTCTGTCTCCATCCTCCAGTCTGGATGAGGGGACGCTCAGGGCTGCCGAATCACTGGGGCTGGAAATGTCAGAGCTCATCAAGTCCTCGGAGATCATTTGGCTCAGCATGTTGCAAACACTTGCTCCTCATCCCTGGCCCCCAGAACAGGAGTGGTTTGAGGATATTTTGGGCTTCACAGAAACCAGCCTGAAAAAACACTCTTCTAGTCCAAACTTTTCAATTTACAGGTGGGGATCCAGAGGCCTAGAGATGTGAGACTTGCCCAGGGTCTCAGAGCAGGTTGGGAAATCTGACAAATGGCCCCCTGCTCACCGCTCCACTGTTCCCATTCCCCACAGGCACCAGGCCTGCCCTGGGCATGGAGGTCTTTTGAGTTATCCTGTAGATTTTAAGATGCTTTGGCAAGTGTTTCAAACTCCAAAGGGGAACAGGACTAGGGACTGAGTCATAAGACAAATGCACATTGGGCACATGTTAACATCATCTGCAAGAACAGAAAATATTTTTACAAGTCTCCCCACTTGCCTCTGGACATGTTCAAATCAAGGTGATGAATGGCTGGGTAAGTACCGTGGCAAGCAAAGGAAGTATCATAAAGCTCCTTGGCTCCACTGCAGAGCCCTGAGGGCAGCAGCAGAGACAGTCGGATGGACAGACAGACAGAACACTCACTCTCCTCAAGGCAGGGAAGGAGCTTGGCGTCCCCACTGGGTCAGGAAGAATGAGACAGGATAACAGGGAGCCAAGATACGGGAAATTAAACCTGGGCCACTGTGTGCCTTCTGACTCTGGGAGCACATGTATATCACATAAAGAGGCATCAAAGCACACATTCAGGAAGTATCTCCATGCAGATGCAGATGCAGACACACACACACACACACTCCCCTCTAATCCTACCAGGAAAAGATGCCAGAGCCTAAACTTACAAAGCCAACTGATATCCACTAGGGGGCAATACCACATTTCCTCCCGGCCTGGGCGTGCCTGTTGGAGGAGCTGTCTGGAAGCCGTCCTTAAAGCCTGGTTACATAGATCTCTTTATGTTCCACTGAGGTCACAATCCATGGGCAGTCCTGTCAGAATCCATTCTAGGGACTCCCCTGTCCTTTTCTCAGTGTATAACCTTGGCCAAGGGCTTAATTGCTCTGAAATCTGCTCACCTGGGTTAGATGAGGAGCCAGTGACCCTTAGTATAGTGCCCAGTACATAGTAAACATGGACTCAAAGTCACACAAAGGACAGCAGGGAATTTCATTTTTTTAAATAAAGGAATCCTTTCATCAAATGAAATCATATGTAGAACTACACTACATAAAACACAATACTTCGTTCCCTGAACCATCTGAGGCTTCTCTTGTCTTGATGGAATTATGGGGGTCCTCAGGACAGCCTGAAAATCATGGCAGTAGCCAAGGAGTCGTAAGCCCTCGGCTCTAACGCTCACTCTATCGAACCCTGCTGAGTGAACTTGGTAAGAAACTTCTGTGAGCCTTGGTTTTCTTGTCTATTTAATAGTCATTGGGCTGTAGGAACTAAACATGCTTATGTGTGTCAGGCCCCTAATACAGTCCCTGGCCAGTAGCAGGCCCTCAATTAATGTTTTTATTAAAACATTCCCTCAAAACCAGAGCCATGAAGAATGCAGCAGATTTCCTCAAGAATTAGCAGATTCTGTGAGGTCTCATGGGCTCCTCAGGATGATGAGCTTGGTGGCTCTGGAGCCACTTGGTGGAATGCTACCTCCAGCCACCTCCCTCTCCTCCTCCCACACTCTAGAAAGATTGTCCTTCAGATGACCTCATGGCACAAAGAAGAGATGACTTTTCCTGCTTCACACTGAACTGGTGAGTCTCGTGAGACTGCAGCACATCTCTGCTCCCGATGCCAGATGGTCTGTTCCACAGCCATCCCCAAGTCCCTCCAATCTGCAGCCTCGCTTGCTCTTGGTGGGAAAGAGCCCCAATGCTCCTCTATGATAAATTCCATTGGCAACCTCTCCAAGATGGGCAAGGGAATTGAGGCCCCACCTTCACAGCCATGTCCAGAAAGCCTTTGTTTAAGTTTAGCTCCAAAGGAGCAGGCTTGGCACCACTGGTGACTGACAAGGGGCTTGCTGATGTGCAGCTCAAGCCTGGAGCACAGACAGGCTCCCCTCCTGGTTAGTGCCTCCTTGGGCATGGGAGGCCTTTATTCAGCAGAGCCCACGAGTTATTTCAAATGATTGAGGTCACTCCCCCTCCCTCACCAGGAGATATATTTGGAGCAAACAAGAAGCAAGTGGGAAAACTTAGAGGCGAGGCGGACACAGGAGCAAATGGTACACCTCCTCTGCCTAATTCTCTCTGCTTCTCTTGAGCAGTTTGGGTTTCAGAGAGGTGCTGGGCATACCACAGTCCCTAGAAGCCACTGATTGAGAATAGAGAGCCGTCTGAAATGACGCAGACTGCAAGGATCCAGCAGATGGGAGATGCTTCCATTTGACTAAGAAAATAGGGATGGTTGGTGGTTGTTTGAGTTTGTGGTTCTAACAAACCCATCAGATTAGAAACTAAATTATGGTCAATTTACGAAAGCTAGTGACTTTATCTATCTGGGGGGACTGCACTGCAAACATCTGAAATTGTTCATACCTTCTCTTATGAAAGCAACAATCAATAGAGCACTGCCAACTAATGATTTTGGGTTAGCCAAAGACTGCCTAATTTCTTGCTTCTTTCTGCCTTCACAATACATTTGTATTTCAACACGGCAGTTTGAATTTGCAGCATACAAGCTCCAGATCATGAAATACCAGTCACAAGAGGCATAACATCTTCCTTTTCAAGTTCTTTTTGTCCTGAATGACTCTGAAGACCATCATTGCTGCTGTTACAGATACAAAGCAGGTGAAAGCAGCTCAGACACTGACTGAAGCCATTACGTTGTACTGTCACACACATGTATGCAGGTACATACCGCTCCTGCACCTTCCACAAGCCTTCAACAGCATCTTGAGCCTCCCACTGCCCAGCACTGAGGAAACAAAGAAGTCCCTGGAAACCTGGCTGCAAAACTGGTTCCTGGATCATTCAGCTGTGCGTGATGCCTGCTAATTACTCAGTGTGAGTGCTTAAAGCCTACAGGACTTCCTAGGCTGCCTCCAAGAGCAACAATAAAACAGTCCCAAGCTCCAGTTTAATGGTAAGCCTCTAGGTTAAACCCTGGGCTGAGTGAGAAATGAAGAATCTGTGCTTTCCAGCTGCTGCTGGGCCCCCAAATCACCTTTGAGGGGTCCTGATGTCAGATAGTGAGTGCCATGGGGTCCGAGGGCTAAGAATATGGAACTCAACCCAGAAGGCATAGGATTCAAATCCCGGATTCTTTGAGTTTCACTTTTATGATCTGGGGCAAGTCACTTACTCTCTTTGAGCCTCAAAGAAAAAAAGAAAAAAAGAAAAAAATAATCTCTGTCTGAGTGTCAGGACTAATCCAGGGCTTGAATCACATAGCAGTTATGAGAATACTTTGCAAAGTGCTACACATGTATGGTTCCATTTCCTGCCCACTTACTATGCTGAGCACCTTATGGCCAAAATTTCATTTACTCCTTGCAACAACTCTGTGGCAGAATACTAGTAATATCCCCTTCTATCGATGAGGGCACTGAGGCCAGAGAGGCTAACCAACTTGCCTGGGGTCACTCAGCTAATAAGTGGCAGAGCCAGGATTTGCAGCTAAATGTTCTTACACTGTGCTAGGCTGATGACCTCACAGGTGAGAAACTGTCAGCTCATGTCAGTCAGATTCCTGTAGGAGGAGATAAGACAGCTCATCTGGTCACCAGGACAGTCCCCCTCAGCTTTGAGGAAGCCGGCAGGTGGTGTGCTGCTCACCTGGAGTCCTTCTCTGACAGCTTCCAGGAGATAGGGGATAATGGAGTAGTTCCACAAGTCGGTGAACCACACTCTCGAGCCATCCACGTCGATGGGGCACGACAGGAAGAGCCGGGGGCCTGGGGACGGCAATGAAAATACATCAGAGCTAACCCGGGGTCAGGGGGGTGGGGGGATGGTGAGCAGGAGAAGCTGTGGTCCGAGCATCCCTCACAGGAAGGACCCTGGGTTTCCTGAGCCATGGCAGCTGTGATGGTAGAAATACCAGCTGCTGGATGGGGGGCACAGAGCAGGACACTCTGACTCCCTATTCTCATCCCTGGGATCTCCTTGAGGAAATCATCCAAAAGACAGGAAAGGCTTTATGGAGAAGATGTCACTGTGGTATTATTAATCATGATTTTTAAAAATGGAAACACACTACGTGTCCAAGAGAACAGCAATGGTTAAGCAAATGAGGGCACGCCTGCATTTGATTACTTTGCTGCCTTTAAAAATAATTTAAAAAACTAAGTAGCAACATAGAATACTTATGAGACAGTATAAAGTGAAAGAAAACAGAACATACTGTATGTAGACTATGGACATAAAACACACATGTATGAACAAGGACAGAAAAAATAAGCTCAAATATAAATTATGATGTCAGGATGGTGGGATGATCAGTGGTCATTTTCTCTCTGTTCTAAATCTGTAACCTTCAGCAGTACTGCTAAAACTTTATTTTTAAAGCAAAGCAGTCCAAAGGGTAGTTTCAACTGGGCGGGGGGGAGCTCCGGGGTGGGGACTCTGCACTGAGCCGGCAGTTTCTGCATCAGCCCGGCTGGACACATCTCTCCTCTACAATCACTGGTGGTCTGGGGTCCATCTCGATCTGGCCTTGTCCCTCTGCCCCCCTGCTCTATCTCCATGGACAGCCCAGTGTCCAGCAGACTGCTCACAAAGCACTGTCCAGGCCAGGGCCCAGAGGACAGCCATCTAAGGAAGCCAGTAATGCACAGGCTTCGCCTCCCTGCTGGCCAGCCCCTCCTCTCCCTCCTGGCCTCCCACCTACCGATGGTGACATCCGAGGAGCTGTGAGCCTCCAAGAAGCGGTTGAGGTGATGCCAGACCTTGGGGATCCAGTCGATGATTTTTACCAGCTCCACATTCCGCACCCGCCCACTGATCTCCGTTTCCATGAGCTTCCTCCTCAGGTACCGGCCAAGGAAACCCTTCACGGGCTCTGTGTGGTTGGCACAAAGCACCCACCTGGGGGAGGTCAGAAATGCTCTTCAAGATGATGAAGGTGATAAAATTGATGGCTGACCTCAAGAACCAAACCATTTTAGAAATGGAAGGTATACATGCTAATTCTAAAATAGGACTCACCATGCACCAAACACAGCTCTAAACATTGTATATGTGGATTAATTCACAATTCCTCAGGGCAACCCTATGACGTAGACAATACCACCATTCCCATTTTACAGGTAGAAATGCTGAGGTGCAGGCGAATTATGTAATTTGTTCAGGATCACACAGCTAGTTAATAGAAGATCTAAAGTTAGAACTAAGATAGGCTGACTCCAGAAGTATGAGCTCTAACCACAGAGATATATTGCCTCCCGTGTTTGGTGTCAGGCTCGGTACTGGGCTATGAAGCTATAATAATGACACAGATGCAGTCCCTGGTCCCCAGGAGCTCACAGTCTAGTGGACAAGGCAGACAAGCAAACAAAGAAATGAGACACGATGAGGCCTAGGGGAATCAGGGAAGGCTCCTCTGAGGAGAGTCTGGGCTGGAACTGGACGGATGGTGGAAGAGCAACATAAGGAAAAGCAGTATGTGTGTGTATTGAACAACATGCTGTACCCCACAAATATGTACAAATAAGTGTTGTTAAAATAAAAAAAATGGAAAGCAGAAGTGGGCGCTGGGGTGCAGGTAGACAGCATGCTGCATCTGCAAAGGCATGGGAAACAGCGTGGGATATTTGGGGAAACTAGCAGAGGTTCAGTGTAGTTTGGACTTGGCCTGCCAATTCAGTCCGCAGGCAATGGGAAGCCACTGAAGGACCTGAAGTGTGAGGCCCCTATAGTCAGGTCTGCATTCTAGAATGCTCTCACTCTGCCTGCAGGGGGCCAAGCTGCAGGCAGGCACGCTAGTTAGGAAATGATTGCAATAATACACTGGGAGATGAGGTGGTAGCGACAGGGGGCAGGAGGAGGAAGACGGGCTTGAGGGACATTTGGGAGAAAGCATGGACAGGACTGGGACAGTCTGGATGCAGAGGTGAGCCATTCTCTCAGTGGCCTGGAAGAGCTGACATGTCTCTGAAAATTACAATTCAGATCCACTTGTAATAGATCTCCCTCAGAGATGCCTGCAGAGCGGCCAGTGACAACGAGCCAGGGAGCCCCAGCCCAGGAGATCCAGGGTCAGCTGAGAGTCAGGGCAGAGGGTGTGCAGCTATGCCAAGGTGAGCAGCAACACAACCTAGCATGACAGAGCTGAACTGTCCTCCCCACACCCTGGCCACGAGAGACACCCAGTATGTGCTGGCATAGCAGGGAGGGGCACACAGGGATTCACAGCAGCTAGAACTCAAGGCCCATGACCCAGCTATGTGGGGGCATTCATAAGTAAGAGCTGTCAGGGCTCCTGCTCACTTGGGACAGACAGACAGACACATCATTGGTGATGTACAGGGGTGGCCTACAACTGGTCCAGAGCTGCCACCCTGACCTGCCATACCAGGACTAAGTATCAGAGAGACCTGGGTTCAAGTTTCAGCTCTGCCACTGACTGGCTGTATGACCTTACACAAGTCATTTAATTCTCAAAGCCTCAGTTTCCCCACTTGTAAGTGGAGAATGATAAATTTAACTACCTGAAGTGGAAGTGAGAATTAAATAAGCTGAGAAAAATGCTTAACACAATGCCCAGCATATAACAGATATTCAGAAGAGGCTTTTCTACTCACCCTTTCTTGCATTCCTTCTTTTTGATTTCATCATTAAACTCAACAAGAGAAGTGGTACCTTACCTGAAGTTATGATGAAGCTGCAGGTTGGGAGTAGAAGAGGTAGCCTGGTTCATTGTGCCAATGATGTAAGGGCTGTGGGGGAAGCAAAGGAAAAGAAAGCTCGTGAGTAAAAGCCAAGCTAGAGGCCTGTGGTGCCTGTGTGTCCGGGCAGATGTAAGGCCAGCTCCTGTCTTCCCCACCCGACTTGTGTGCTGCTTCAGAACCACGCTGCCCCAGGCCGCATGTGTGCACGGCTCCCATTAGATGGCGGCACACCCTCACTGGGCTAGGAGGGCTGGAGCCCGCCTTTACCATTTGTGGTACTTGCAGTTGAGCAGCCCGTTGAAGATCTCGCCCAGAGAGCTGACATGATGCAGATTGTCCAGGATGATGACCAGGGGCATGTCCACAGCGTTGTTCTCACTGTTGCACTGATCGGCCAGGTTGGACAGGTACTGGCGCAGTTCCTATTGTGGGCAGGCCAGGATGGCGGGAGAGAACGAGTTGGTGAATGCACCCCGATGAAGATGCATTAACTCAGGGCCTTCACTTCATCCAGGCCAGTGTAGGTGGAAAGGCCCTGCATGGTACTGTGCTATGAACTTCTTCTGAGTACCTGCCTGTTGCAGGGCATTGGTCTGGTGCTCAAGGATGCGAGTAAGGCCTGGGACTGCCTTCTGGCGTTCACTAGATAACTGAAAATGTTGAGCCCAGGGCAAGAGCACAGCACCATGGAGTTGCACAGGCATGATTTTTATCCCTGCTCTACCACTTCTCTAGAAATGTTGTCACTTTTGTTGATATTTCCTATTATGCCAACCTCCCAGTAGGCTCCAGACAGCAGGTGCCTTATACATTTCTGTACCTCCATTGCACCTGCCTGAGAGCAGTGTACACAGAAGTCCTCGATAAATTATTGCAGCAGAGGACCCAGACACACACACGCGTGCACACACGCACACAAGTAATGCTGATTAGTGATGTGGAGATAATCCACAGCACTGGGGGAGATGAGTCCACATGCACAAGGGACCTAAGAAGGTCCCACTGAAAGGGCAGGCTTTGAATTTAACCTTGAGGAATGAAAGGGTGGAGCATTGGCTCAGCTGGGACTAGAACTCAGCCCTGTGTGCCTGGGGCAAGGGATGCACATGTCAGAAAAGGAAGAGGAAGAATAATGCAATAGGGAAAGGCTGAAACAGTAAGTTAAGGACCTGCCAGCGAAGCCAGAATAACTGTCTGATATTATCATCATCATAATGACAGCTGGCATTGTCTAGACCCAGGCTAGGCTTAGGCTTTACACACATGAGCTTCTGTAGCCCCACAGTAACCCTATGATGTGGGGAGGTACTATGAGTATCCCCATTTTACAGATGGAGAAGTTGAGGCACAAAGTCAGGTGAGTGGCCTGAGACCACATAGGAGTGAGCAGTGGGGATAGGCTGAGACTCGGGTGCACGCCCAGTGTGTCTTCACCACACCAGCCTGGCCTGGATGCCTGTCTGGTTACTCTTTGAGGGTGGCATTTCCTTCACCTCCTGCAAGAACACACCCACCCTGGGCCTCCCTTTTATGTCAAAATGTGGGTTGCTAGCAATAAATAAAGCCTGACTTTTAAAGTTACTAGTTCTTTTAGTACCTCTTCCCCATGGGATATTGGCCCCAGGCACCTCACAAGGATAGGGCTCCTGGCTCCTCGAGACTTGAAACCTTCCCTCCCTTAAACAGGCCTGCAATGTTGATGAGCTGTGCTCTGTATGAGAGTGCCCTGTGAAGGCTGCATGCCTGCGGGGAGGCCTTTCCTAACTCACACAAAGGCTCTCAGTACAGGGGCTCTGAGCACTTCTCTCCTGTCCTGTCCCTATATCAAAACCACTTGAGGAATGGGTAGATGGTGCAGATTCCCAGCCCCACACAACCTGTTGAAACAGATTATCTATGAGTGAGGTCTAGGAATCTGCATCTTCAAGCACACCAGGTGATCTTAAGGTGGAGAAGCCATTGCCAATTCACCTTTGATTCTCCAGCCCCTTTCCACAGGGCCAGCTGTGTGTATTATCCATCAACCCTCACTTCATGCATGAATGAACAGTTCTGAGAAAACACTTCACAACCCCCAGCTGGGACCAAGTCGGTCTCCATCTAAACAGGTTTCCTGCTCTCACTGGGAAGCAGAATGGAACCTGACTACTGACTACAGGGCTCTAGAGTCCCAGGCTTCTGCTTGAGCTCCAGTTCTACCACTTAGTACCATCTGAGCAGTCTTAGGCATGTGGCCAATCTTCCCCCAAGCCTCTGTTTCCTCATCTGCAAAGTGGGGATAGTGCCCCACAAAGTACCCCGCTGAAGGTACTGCTGAGAGAAGGCCAGTGTGCTGGTCATGGGTCAGGCAGTCTGTAAAGGTGAGCTATCGTCGTCGTCCTTTTTGTTACTGCTGTTCCACAAAAGGTTTTATTTTGGAGAAAGAATAACAACTAGTGGGAACATGATAAATTCTTGGTAAATTGAAATGGGCATATCTGGGATGATCTTTAAGAACTACTAGCACTGAGCATTGTAAATGAACTAGATCGACTTAACCACAGAGGGAACGTCTTGCTGGAGGAAGTCAAGTCAAAGCCTCCCATTCTTCTAGCCCCACTCTGCACCCCCTTCACCTGGCTTTCAAGAACCGAAAAATGCTGCAGGCTCAGGATGGCCTCCTAACCTTGCTGGACTTATGGTCCACGTTGAAAGTGGCAATAACCCCATCCGTCAATTCCCGTCCCTCTCGAAGCACCATGTACTCTGACAGCCGGTTGGCAAGGTAGGTTTTCCCGGTGCCGCTGGGGCCGGAGAGAATGATCCGCCGGTGCTCTATCAGCAGGGAGACATAGCGCTGCAGGATGGGCTTGGGGATCAAGGACTCGAACACCAGTGAGTCCAGGCTATTTTCCGCGAGCCCTGCATTTGAGAGAGAAAGGAAGAGTTGAAGCTCTGTAGAAGGGTAGCTCTCTGTGCTTGCCTAACCGGGACTGCCAAGACCCGAGGTTATCCCTTTCATTGGCAGCCCCAGAGACCCCCTCCCCACTCGGGTACACCAAGGCTGGGAGTAAACTCCTGCTGCTCCAGGAAGTCACCTCCCTGTTTATCAGCACCATGAGCTCCTAGCTCCTGTCTCGACTAACGTTCCCAGATTCAGACTCACCTTTAAAATTTGAATACTCAGTCCTCATCTGTCCTCGGCAGATGTAAGGCTCTGGGCTCCGCTTGCTTGTCTGGCTTTACTAGACCTATGGTGTCTGCCCAAACCAAACCTGAGTCTTGTCCACCCATGTCTGCCATAACCCTGGGGTTGTCTCTTCATGCGCCAGGTGCCATTGCTACCCACACTTAATGTACCATGAAGGCAACACACTTTCATCTTTAACATGAGGAAAAACGCAAAGTGGGATCATTTGATTCTGGAACATGAATACTGGCAGACCTAGGCTGAAATACTACAGACTGAGACATTTGATCCTCACCAACACCAAGCAGAAACTTATCTTTCCCCTTTCCTACTGGGGACAGCTTCATTCATCAGGGTTGTTGGCTTTAAAAGAGTTATTTTCTTTATACCATCCCCAAGAGAAAATCCATCTAAAGTTAGCTGTCCAGAAACTTGGGTAATTTTGTTTAAAAATTCCATCAAGAAAATCAGTATATATAAGTGAAAAGTAAACTAAGGGGCATTTATTCTGTTTTATAATAGAATCTTCCTTCCACATAATTCTGTGCTGCAAGCAAATCCTCCCCTAATGCATTTATATGCTTGTTTCTAATCCTCCCCCAACCAAGAGTAACCCCAAAGTGCACTGACTGACCCAGAATGACCACGATGAAGGTCTGCAAATGTTTTATCTGCTGGGGACAGGCCTAAGATTTTCCTGCTACTGAGTTCAACATAGCCTACACCAGCTCAAACCTTGATGCAAAACATGGAGCTGAGAGTCTCTAATCTAAACTTAATATGGATCAGGCTCCACTGAGGGTGGTATGTTCCACCAGAGGCAGATAATCTTGTCACTGTTTCTACAGAGGTTTGGTCTGGTATGAGCAATACATCACCTCTTTTATCCCTCAGTGCTTGTAATGCCCACCTGTAAAACGAGCAAGTAGGCAATGCACGCTTGGCAGCATGGATGAAATGCAAGTTTAGCCCAGGACGTAAAGAGCTCTCTTTAAAGAGTTCTTGCCTTGGACCTAATACCCTTTCCTGCTTCCCCTCACAGTAGAGCTCTTCTTTCTCATGGCAAACTCATTCCAGGTGGTGCATGTGGAGCTGATTTAGCCCCTTCATCCACCCAAAGGGGTAGGCTTGTGACTGGGCTTGGTCAAAGTCTCACTCTAGCCATGATGACCAACTCAGTGATGGGCATTTGATTTGCTGTGGGACAGAGTCACCCCTAGGAACTTTCTGCCACACTTTTCCTGAAAGACCTCTTTCCTTCAGGTTCCTAAGCTAAAAGGATGAATTGGAGCTACCCCGGGCCATTTCATCAACCATGCACTGCAGAGGCCTCAAAAAAGAACCAAGCAGTGATGAGCAAAGCTGTGGCAGGCATGGCCCTGGTGATGCTGAGCATCTGGATCCAGCTGTGCTAGAGATGTACTTCTGGACTTCCCAGGAATGTGTGCCTATAAATTTCCTTTCTTGCTATGGCTACTTTTGAGTTGGTTCCTGTCACTTGTAGCCTAAAGGCACAATTGTGCAATTCTACTTGCCAGCAGGGAAGGCTGCATGAGGCTCGAGCAGTAGATACCACTTGTCCTCAGCAGAGTGAGATCTTAATTCCTGCTAATGACAAGTGGTGGAGTGCTTCTGGAAAATCTGCCAACCAGGAAATAACATGTGCATCAAACAACTCCAAAATTGCATTATTAAAACTGCAGTCAGGAAAGTAAGAAATGGGACAACACGAAGTATGAACCTAGTGCAGTGTTTATAAAAGTCTATTACTAGAATGGTTCATAAAATATAGGAAATAATGGGGTTTTGCAGTCAAACAAATTTGGAACAGATTGGATTAAACAGCCTTTTCAATGGCAGGAGTTAGGACATTAAAGAAGAGAGCCTTTAATATACCAGCTCATTCCTGTCCCCTGGCCCCCAAATCCAACTAGGGATAATGATGCAGTTTTCCAGATTGATTTGGCTGTAAAACTTTTTTTTTTTTTTCTACAGAGACCTTTGTGGGCCTAGAGTTGCATGAAGCACACTTTGGCCTGGGGCTTAACATCTCTGGGTGATGAGGCAATCGGAAGTTCCGGCACCATCCTGCGTGGGCAAGAGCTTCAGCAGTTTCATCAGGATGCACAGAGTGACTCCTCTGTAGCCTCTAGCAAGTCGTGGTTTCCCCATCTGTATAATAGGACCACGTCCAAGGCTTGCTGGCAAGAGTAATTCACTGGTATCGGTAGAGCCCCATTGCAACAGGGCTATTAAGATTCCATCATCTCAGAGTAATAAGGTTAATGGGGCCTTTTGTTATATAATTTCAGCAATAAACTAAAATTATTGTTTCTGACAGTGGTTGAAAAAGCCAAAGATGGTTCAGCTTGCTTAGGTAAGAGTAAATGTGGCGGAAGACAAAAAATTTAAAAAAACAACCCACATACATATGCACAAATAAAACTGTGGCCACAAGTTCCTATGCCAAGTTACAGAACAAAAACTGCAGTTCCTGAAAGCTCTGACCTCTGCAACCAGCCACATTACCTTTGACAGTCACAGAGATGGTGGTGTTTTCTCCAACCAGATAGCCGCAGGGCAGCAGCTCAGGAGTTTCGGAAGTGTTGCTACGCTTGATTTCCCCAATGCTATAGCCGAGAACACTGTCTGAATTCAGGCCTAGCTGACTCACTGGGTCAACGTGAATGATGTATTCCTGGAAAAAAATACAGTAAACACATCAAAGATGGGGCTAAAATCTGCCTGTGACTCATGTTTGCTTTGGGTGATTTATGACCATCATCTCTCTTTTCTCAGATGGTGTCTGAATTGAAATCGAGATGTGGAATGACGAGGAGAAGAGCTGACTTTCTATGCAGATAATGCCCTAGTATCATAGGCCTCTTAAAATACAGGATTTATTTGGTTAGGCTGGGGGAAAAAAAACAAACAAACCCCTAACAAGATTGTGAACGTTTAGTCTGGATGAACCAAGCACGAAAAAGCTAGTTCAGCTGAAGTCTTGAAGACATCAGGGCCTATGAATGGTACTGGAAAATTCATGAAAAAGTGATTTTGACAAGAAATCTCTCCACAACCCCTTCTTTTGGCTCAAAGACCAGACTGATGACAAAGAGAGCAAAACCTAGAACTAGTAGAAAAAAATCATCTCTGTATTTAATTTGAACAGTGTTCCTTCTTAGGTGAGTTATCAAAAGGTTTTAGGTCAGTGAACGTGGGCTATGAGATGGCCACATGATGACTTAGGTAGAGTTCCAATAACAGGCCTTGAGTGGTCTTATTTCTTCACTTACTCTGATGCCCCAGTGTCTGTTTTTAGCCCAAACTGTTGCCTTTCTAATCCAAGGATGTCCCCAACTGTCCGTCAGTAGAGAAAAGGTTTTGGCATAGGTAGTAGAACTAGTCTGTCCTAAGCCACTCATATTTCTTGCCACGTCACATTTCTACAGACTGGCCTGCCAAGATGGGGAACAATCTATTGTCAAAACACAAAATTTTCTCTGTATGAAGCCACCTAGATCTAGATGCTAGAAAGAGACTATGATGTATTAGTTAAGTCAGACCAACTCAACTAGACCAACATGGTCTACTTCTATAGCCATGACAGCAGGCAAGTGCCCCAACCCGAGCCTCACTTTTCTCGCCTTTAAATGGTAAAATAAGTGGCTTAGATGGTCTCTGGCACATACAAAAAGTGTGGGCTATCATTTTTTTGACTTCTTTTGTATCTCTGCCCATAGGGCTCTCTACATAGTAGGAGACACCTAATCAATCACATTGATTAAAGAACAGCTAATAGAACATTCTATTCTGTTAGGTTTTTAAATATGTAACATGCTCATAAGGATACAGAGTTAGGAGCGTGGTGGGGGCAGAGGGGCGAGAGGGTAGATAGGGTGAGGGCTGCATCTGTTAAGCAAAATCAGCAAAGAAAAGAGCACCAGTCTTGTGGTGAGATGATCTGACTCCATCACTTGCTTTGTGGCCTTGAGTAAGTTAAGTGATGCTTGGGTGTTGGGATTCTCAATTGTAAAATGGAGATAATAACACTTGGTTGACCAACCTTGAGAAGATCGTAATTTCTGAAAGTGACTCGTAAACTTATAAAATGTGAGTTCTATTTGTTGATATTGATGATCACTAGAATAAAATCCATTCACAGGTATCACTTGCATTTATTATAAGAATGCCGTTAAGAATGAATTTCCCGGGGCTGGCCCGGTGGCGCACTGCTACAGTGTGCCGCTTGGGAGCGTGGTGGCGCTCCCGCCGAGGGTTGCGATCCCGTTGCCGGTCCCGGTCCGGTACGGGGGCGACACTGAGGGTTGTGATCAGTTGCCGGACACGGAAAAAGACAAAAAGGAAAAAAAAAAAAAAAAAAAAAGAATGAATTTCCCCTGACAGTCCATCACTCTACTAGCAAAGTTGTGAAATGAAGCTATTTATTGTACCTTTCTATGCTAGATGTTGCTAGATTTTGGCAGCTCTAAAATTCTGGGCTTCTCCCCTTCATAAGGCTGGTGAAGTCAGCCATAATGTGGAATCTCCTGGCAAAGAAAAGTCTGGCTGCTGATGCTCTGTTTTGGTGGGCACTGTGGGTTCCCTAGCTATCTGAAACTACAATAACATATTGGCTAGAAATGCTAAAAAAAAAAAAAGATAACAAAAAACTCAAGGGAACTTAAAATGGTGACTCATGAGGCCTTTTGCCACTTATTTGAGATGGTAATTCAGAGCATCACTGGGATTTAATCACTGACTAAAATTCAGCTTTCACTGTCAGCTCCCACTCCACCCCAAAATAGTCTCTGGCAGTGATATAGACCCTGGAAGACAACAGAAACTGTACTCAGAAAACTCAGACTCCCCAGCCGAGGTGAGTTAGGACGCCCCACCAACTCCACTTCCAGCTACCCACGTGTTTCCTGGACTTGGCCACCTCCGTCCCTCAGTGTCTACCTTGTTGGCAGCCTCTGATGACCAAAGACTGGTGCTCTTGGTCAGCTTATTTCTGCACCTTACATGCTCAATGTGCTTAGCTGCCTTTGAAGTGCTTTGGGAACATATTAAATTCGGAAAAGCCATTTCTGACGGATGTTAGTATTGAGTTAATTACATGAAAGCGCACCGTGGGATCATGTTTAGTGCTCTTTATTAGACTTCCAAACATGAGAGAAAGGGCAGTGCCGTTCACTCATTTTAATTGTGTCAGCATGCTGCTGGGGACTGTGGTTAGTTAAGAAAAGCGTTAGTAGTATTTCCAAATCACCTTAAGCGGAGGTGATACGGTTTTGTGATTAAATTTCTAAGCTAGGTAGTTCTACCTGGGGAGGGACAGGCAGAGCAGGGAAAGGGATCCAACTAACCTCCTTCCACTTCATCTCCTCCTGAAAGCTGACAACTATCTTAACATGCCTGCCTCCTTCCTTCCGAGCCGAGCATTCACCAGTGTCATCCAGCAACATGTCTGCGAATGGAAAACATCAACAGCCTTAGGCACATGGGACAGCAAAGCCAGCTTCCTGACACCCCCGCTGCTTGTTGACACAGCAGCAGGACAAACCAGGTGTCGGGGTGCGGGGAAAGGGGGTGGGGAGTAGGGGAAGGGGTGAGGGCTGAATGGAGAATGCAACCACAGAAACCAATGGTGGACCAACCAAGGAACCAGCAGGCGGCAATGCACCTTGCCGAATGGAAGTGCAAGGGGACGCTCAACCAAAACAACAGCAACAGCAGCATCATGGATAAAAAAGAAAAGCATCAGCCTCAATATGCTTACAAAGAAAACCCAGATCGTGTTCACTGATGACTGTGCCAGCCTGGAATCCAGCCTGAAGGCAGGAGGATCATGGACTAAGCCATTGCCCCAGCTGGGACCTGCTACTATGGGGTTTGTATGCAGCATTCAGCTCGCAGGTCAGCCTCTTAAAATGGATCAAACAGAACGCAGCATGGTGGGTGAGGGGATCCAAGCTCATAGCCTGGAGACTTTGGGCACTGGAGCAAAGCATGAGAGCAGTCTAACGGCTGGGCTTGTGTTGCAGCAGACACACACCCAGACACACACACTCCAAGTGCACACACGCCTGTTGCCTCTCCATTTGATCTGCTGATCTGCTTATCCTGGGGTTCTCACTTGGAGACCAGAGTGCTGGCTGCAGGTCCAGTCCTTCCCTCATGTCTTGTGAGTCACTCACCCAGGCTGGTTGATTCAGTGAGGTTCAGGCTGTGCTGGGAGAGGCCCATGGACTGCCTTGGGGAGGCGGAGATGGACACCTGGGAGGGAGCCCGGCTGCAGCCACTGCCTTGAGACTCTGACTTTAGCCGGTCATTCTCAGCTTTCAGCTTCTCTATTTCACTCTGCAAAGAGTAAGGGTGAAGCTCACTTAACTAGGTGGATGTAATATGAACAAGACTTTTCTCGAGGAAAGATCTCAAAACTTGCTACAGGAACCAGGTGTAAGTAACCAAGGCAAGTAACACCAGCAGAGAGATTCAGCAGTGTTTGCTGCCTTTGCTGTATACAAAAGACATGTCTGGCAGGGGAGAGTCCATCCTGTCAGAGAACTGGCCTTTGAAAATACCTGTTTCCCAGTCTGCTGCTTGAGTGTTAAGTGAAAAAGAGTCTTATAACCTAAGAGGTTTGTGAAACTCTGGGTTTGACAGGTTTCTTTACTCCAGGACTTCTCAGAGCCTTTAATGAGCTGCTACGCATTGTGAATCTGAGTGTGCAGTATTACCCAGCCGTGTTTGATCAAAGAGCTCTCCTTTCATAGAGCCTGTCACAGAATGAGTGTCTCAGAGAACCTCCTTTGGGAAATACTGCTCTCCAGTGTGGTTCCATTCAGAAGACCCCACAGGAGTCTTTCACTCTGTGAATATTTATGAAGAGCCTACTATGTGCAAAGCACTTGTGCAATGTACAGAGAAAGGAATGCAAAAAATAGCATCTTCACACTGTGGCAGAAGGTGGAAGGAGCTGTCAGAACAAATCTATAGGAATATTCAGATGTGGGCACTAACTCTTCCAGCTGCAGGACTCAGAAAGACTACAGAGGATGAGGCATCAAGCTGAGCCTTAAGGGAAGGGTCTGATTTGGATGTACAGAAGGATGTGCAGTGGAAGAACAATATAAAACAGAAAGGCTCAGGGCATGGAAAGGGAGCAGTCAGTGGCTCCATCTGGCTTGTGAGTAGAGTCTGAAAAGTGGAGTTAGAGAGGGTGGCATAGATTAAGAGTAATAAGGACCCTGGAGAAGGCCTTGAAGACCAGGTGAAGGAATCCACATTGCATGCAAGAGGCAATGGGAGGAGCCACTGAAAGTCTTACGCAAGGGAGAGGAATGGAGTCTTACTCTTTCAAAAGACTGTCTTTGAGCAATAGGTGGGAGGGACTGAAAAGAGAAAGGTTAGGAAAGCAGAAGTTTGCCACTGGATCTGCATCCTGATGTACCCTTGGGGCTTGGCAGCAGCCTCCTGGAGCTCCTTCCTAGACAAACTTTGGCTCAGCCCACGCTCCTGGGCTCTCACCTGCATTCTGTTCATGGCCTCCCGGAGCTGGTCCAGCTGGTGGGCAGAGCTGAGGGCTTCTAGGCGGATGTCCGTCAGCTTCATCTCCTTGTCTCTCAGCTCATTTCGGAGCTGCATGACTGTCTCTGCTTCACTATCCACACACTCTGAAATTCTATAGAAACAGGAATATTACTGACGAAAACAACTCTGGGTTCATCAAGTCTTAGTCCCCTACTGACCACTGGTGCATGTTATTCATCAGGTTTGCTCAGCAGTAACCATGCATACCCAGCTGTCTTGTGGTTCCTGGAGGTGACAATAGCAAAAGCACTTGAAATTCACCAATTTTATTACTTCTATACACTCTTTCTTTGCAGAGCTCCGACAATCAGAATGGCTTTGGTGCATCCTTCTGCAAAATTCCCATAATCTAGGGATAAGCAGGAGCTGGCAAAAGGGAGAAGTAACCTTTGGCATTTCAACCCCCCCTCAGTGTGTGCACAGCTGGGACCCTATAATGATACACATGGCCCTTCAGTTCTAAACCTATTCAGAGAAGCAAGGCCAACTGTCTGTTTTAAAGATTTAGAAACTCCAAGGTTAAACAGCTGAGGGGGGATTATTTGCCAAAAATGGGAAGAAACCTAAAGATATGAGTGAAAGGAGTTAGTGTGTTTCTGATCACATTCTAAAAACTCACTCCCCTAAAAGTGTCCAGAGAGATCAACCTTCTTTAGTTCCCCCATCCCCCACACTGCTTAATACCCTCATGGCAAGAAGAGAAACATCTTCAGAGTCAGAGTCCAGAGAGGACGATGTGACGTAGAATCCAAGATTTTCTCTGAAATTTCTCCAGCCTGGCTACTTGTCTTCCTTTCTCACCTCAACTCCAGATCAAGGTGACTGTGGAATCCTGATGAGTACCTCTTTCTTTTCTTTTCTTTTTTTTTTTCCTGGTGGCTGGCTGGTCCGAGGATCCGAACCCCTGACCTTGGTATTATCAGCGTCATGCTCTAACCAAGTGAGCTAACTGGCCAGCCCCATCCCTCTTTCTTAAGAGGTGGTTCTCCTAGGCTGCACTTCTTACTTGATTAGTTAGCGTTGTTTTTCAGACACTTGGCAGGTCAGCACAAAGTGGAAGATTGTAAAAGTCAGCATGAATTGCAATATTAAATAAGATAGTTCCAATTAAAAAAAAAAAAGTTCTGTGAATTTCAAAGATCACAGGATCTGGGGTATTGGGTGATCCAGAATAGAAAACTTTGACATTTCTCAGACTGAAGACAGAAAAGAAACCCCCCAAAACAACAACAAAAAACCCATAAATAAATAAATAAATAGGAAAAAACCTCCACGTTCATAGTTACAAAGCTGAAGATGATCATGTCTGAAGAGGTGGTGAGCATGTGGTCTCTGCAGAAACGGTCACGTGCGCTCACTCTCCAAGACCAGAGCACTAGCTGTGGGGCTGAACAAAGCCTGACCTTTAAAATTGGGTGAGAGCGGGAAATTGTAACTGACAAATGTCAAGATGATCATGTCTGAAGAGGTGGTGAGCATGTGGTCTCTGCAGAAACGGTCACGTGCGCTTACTCTCCAAGACCAGAGCACTAGCTGTGGGGCTGAACAAAGCCTGACCTTTAAAATTGGGTGAGAGCGGGAAATTGTAACTGACAAATGTCTAAAATTTTAAAAGAGGGCTGGCCGGTTAGCTGAGTTGGTAAGAGTGATGTTGTTAACACCAAGGTCAAGGGTTTGCATACCCTTACTGGCCAGCCACCAAGAAAATAAAAAATAAGTAAAAGAGATGTAATTGTAGAAAGACAAGAAAAATTTAACACTTGAATAGCCAACTCTTTCCGACTGGCCCCTGAACTGCTTTGATTGGAGAGATACAAAGGGAGTAAAACTACCTCCTATTTTTAAAAGTTGTCAGTAACCAAGGAAGCTTCTCAGCTTCAATATCTTCTTGAAAAATCCAAGGAACTCCTGAAAATGTTATAATTATTCCCATTTCCTACCTATGAGGAACTGAGGCCAAAAGATTTGGGACGAAAAGGGCTAGAGAGACAGAAATGTCTTTAGGATTCAGATCATCCTTTCTGTCCCAGCTCTCTGAGTTTTGAATAGCCTGTGCTTTGTAAGGTTTAACTACAGAGATATGCTTTTTTTGGTTTGGAAGGTTTGCAGGAGAGCTTGCAAAAACTGGTTCTTTCTCGATAGGACTATGGTTTCCTGGTTTAAATGGAGTGTAAAGTATGAACAAAATTCCACAGTGACACTCTGGTCTTAGCCAAGCCATGCCATACACAGATGTTGAAGGCTCTAATTCATTGCAGAGAACAGTCTGTTGTGGTTCACACTGTGTCAGACTGGTCTGTCCAGCTCTCCATGGCAAGGCACTTAGCTCAAGTCTCCTTCACATGGCCTGTACCTTTTCTCTAGAAAGGTCTCTCAGCAAGTGAGATAATATTTCCTCGGCATCCACTTTGTGCAATACACCACCTGGGTTACTTTGCAAAGCTTGGCTAAACAATGACTTTACAAAGGGAACCAAACTAAAGTAAAGAAAGTTTGTGTTGGGAGTACAAGGTCCTCCTGTGCTCGTCCAATATTGACTAGCTCTCAGAAATGGTGAGGCCACATGGGACGGATATCCTACAACATGGAGATGATGTTGAAAACAAGTACTTTTGCAGAAGCCATGACTAAGTTTTAGTCCCTAACCCTACTGCCCAAGACAGAGCTTTCTCCCTTGGTCCCTTCCGTGACTAGATTTATGCTATGTCACCAATAATTTTATTGAACTTAACGGGTTAGCGTCTGCTTGGCTTCTGGTTCCTCCAGGACCAGGGTTTTTCTCTGCTTCATTTCTAGTGTCTGAGCACATTGACCAACATAACAGGTGCTCAGCAAATGCTTACTGAATACACGAACAACTGGGCTAGGTATCTGAAATATATTATCTTACTTACTTTGCACACTACTAACTCCATGAAGAGGTTCTGTAATTATCTCCATTTTTAAAATGGGGAGGCTGAGGTACAGACACATTAGCATGCCCAAGGTCACCTACTTAAAAATGACAGGAGGAGGATCAAAGCTGGTAGGTCTGTTTAACTCAAGAGCCCATGCCCCTTAACTATATCCAGTAGGTGCTCAATATATGCTTGTCCACTTCATGGATCACTTACTGAAGCTACCTGATGTACATTTTTTTCCAACTCAGTCTCTAACCCATTATTCCAGCCTATTCCTGCTGTCTTGTCCAGAGGCAGGGCTGGTGGCATAACCTAATTTTAAACTCCTCGAGTGTGGGAAACGTTGCCTTCCCACAGTGACCATTCCTTTCGCCCGCGGGTTGGGGAATTTTCTAAGTCCAACTCCTCTGCCTTTGGTTTCTTCTTTGAACTCCCTCTCACATCTAGATTTGCACATTCTTACAAACCCTTCAAGGTTGGAAATAAGCATTTGCTCTCAGCCCACCCTTTGGAAAACTAGACCAAAAACAAACATCTCCAGTGTCCACGGATGCTGTGGAATGTAAGAAAAGGGCTGGGGAGCTGACAGTCTGCCCCACCCAATCCCTGTGGGGAAAGTGGTTTGGAAGGAGAGCTCCCGCTACGGTCCCGTACTGCTGACTGCACCATCTCCAACCACTCTCTCCTCGTCTTACTTGGCCGCCCAGCAGCAGTTGGCCCAGTTCCTACTCCCTCCTCCAAAGGGTTTCGTCTCTCTGCTCCTGGGTTTCCTCCCACCTCGCTGGCTGCTCTCCTTTCTCCTCCTGACCTACAAATATCAGAGTGCCCAGAGCCCAGTCCTGGCTCCTCTGCTCATCTTCACCTCCATTCAACCCCTTGGAGAACCCCTCCAGTTTTCCAGCTTTCCATACCACCAATGACCCATGTCTCCCAAACCCTGCCTCCAGGAACTCCAGGCTGGGCAGCTTCTCCATATGGGCATCTCCTGGGCAACTCAATGCGGCCAAACCTGGGCTCCTGATCCCCACCCTGCTTCCATCTGTGTCTCTCACCAGCCCCAGGTATTCAAGTTGCAAATCTAGAAACACCCAAGGATTATTCTGTCTTTCCCTCAACCCTCCACATCTGACCCATCGCCATGTGCATCAACTTTTCTTCCAGCCCTAAATCCATCCAGGACCCACCACTACCATCAGTCACTCATTCATTCCACCAAACGTTTCAGTGCCTGGAAAACCAACAGAGTACCTACCTCCATGGAGCTTACACTGTGGATTTGGGGTAGGGGTGGGGAACAGAGAACAAATAGCCAAGGAAAGTCAGAATGTTGGGTATCAGGTGGTAATGCAAGGGTACTTCAGAAAGTTCCTGGAAAGATTAGTATTATCTTTTAATTCTGTTTTTCCAGGAACTTTATGAGGTACTCTCATATGTGTGCGATAGTAAAAAATAAAGTAGGAGCAAGGGGACGAAAAGGGGTGCCAGCTGGTGGTGGGGTGTTATTTCATGCAAGGTGGACAGGCCAGGCCTACTGATAAGATAACACTGAGCACAGAACAGAAGGAAGTGAATATTGAGAGGAAGAGCACAGCAAGCAGAGAGCACACGAGAGTGAAGGCCTTGAGCTGGGGAGTGTGACCAGAGTGTTCAGAGAACAGCCAGTGGGCCAGGGGAGGTGCTATCAGCCTCTCTGTGAACTCCCTCTCTTCCTGCAATTTTGCTCCATGTTCTTTATCCACAGAACAGATGGTGATCTTTGCAAAACACCAACTCAGATTATCTCACATTTCTGCTTGAAACTCTCCCACTCTGCATGAAATCAGATGCAAACTCACTTTGACTTCAAAGCCTTACATGTTCCAGGTCCTGCTTTTCTCTGTGGCCTCTTTTCTCACCACCCTCCCGCTGCCCATCACACAGCAGCTACGCTGGCCAGCACTCTCTTTCTCAGACACATCAAGCTTGTTTCACATTAGGTTCCCATGCTAGTAATCTCATGGGTCAGGGAGGCTGCCACATGCACACCAGAGCCCATTTCCTTCCCCTCTTTCCCCCTCGCAGCTGGTACAGCCCTGAGCCCTCATCAATAGACTGTGGGAAGAGATGACGTGAGCATCTTCCAGGCCTGGTCCATAAAACCCTCCTGCAGGATCCTGTGTGATCTGTCCCCTCCCCCTCCTGCTGGCTGGACATGGAGCACTGAGCAGAGGACTTGGACCCTGTGGGGTAGCAGAAGCCTAGTGACTAGGAATAGGCTTCACCGCACGGCAGGCTGCCTAGTGACTAGGAATATCTGCACTGGATTTGGACTGAGTCAGAAATAAACAGTCATATGCAAAGCCAGTGAGCTTTGGGACTGAGCTTGCTACAGCAGCTAGTGTTACTGACCAGAACTAACCCTGTGGTTCCTGCTGTTGCAAGGGATTGCAGCTGAAATGTCACCTCCTCAGAGTGGCTTTCCTGACCACCCCGTCTAAAGTTGCTGCCAAGGTACTCTGTGTGCCAGCACTATTTTAACTCACAGCATCAACCCTTAGTACTACCTGATTTTTCTAGTTTATTCAGGATTTGTTTAATGTCTATTCCCCTCAGCCCTTGCATATAGAGAATAGGAACTTTATCTGTCTCAAACACTGTTGTAACCAGAGCCAAGAATAGTGCCTGCCACAGAGCAGAGGCTCAGGAGTGCAGTGAACCATACTGTGTTATGTCCCCAGCAGTTCCCAGTCTCCCCAGGGGTGGGAATCTGGCTGTCATCCTCTTTAGTCTCTTTGGCACACCCAGACTAGTGCTCTGCTCACACAGGCCCAGGCTCTGGAGGCAAGAGCCAGTCAGGAATGGCTTGGGATGGTGGGTGGGGACCCAGGTATCAGCTCAGAAAGTGGCACTGCTGACCTCCTGCAGTGTGAGAAAGGCTGCCCAAACCAGTAGGGCTATCAGGAATGGCTTGGGATGGTGGGTGGGGACCCAGGTATCAGCTCAGAAAGTGGCACTGCTGGCCTCCTGCAGTGTGAGAAAGGCTGCCCAAACCAGTAGGGCTAAGACCATGGTCTGCCAGGCCTAAAATTAAAGAAGACCTCTAGTTCTAGTTAAATCAATAAATAAGGCATAGATGATGAGTTCATTTGTCTTCTGGTCAGCAAACAACTGAGTTGGCTGCTTTGGGATGACGGCATGCCTAAGACCTGTCCATCGTTTCCTTCTTAAGCACCCTGTGGATCAAATAGGACACATGTACTCAGCCCTTCGTCTGCTCCTTCACCCAAGAGAACGCATGGCACTGGGCTGGGCACTGCAGGGACATGCTGAAGCCCAGCTCTTCAGTGCTCCTCTTCCTTCTCCTGCTCAGGTTTTATCCTCCTCCATGATGCAAATCCACATCCCTGTGGCCACCTTCCTACCGGGATGCTCCCCAAGAGAAGAAGAGCTAATCATCCAAGTGGAATGGAGGCCCTAACATAACAGGGCCATGTTTCACGAGTGGGTGGGGTTGCTTAAAACCATACCCCATGTCCTCTTTTCCAGGCAGCTGGTGTCTATAAAGACCTGGCCTCTGGATAGGCCGGTCTTCTCACCTGCACCCATCGGGTGAGCCACTTGGGCAGGGCCTCAGGACTTGTGCAGGCTGCCATCTTCAGTGGGCTGGCTGGGAAGTGGACTTAGGGTGGGCTCTGCAGATGCAGCCTCCTGACAATGAAGGAGGAAGGAACAGGAAGAAATAGGCCCTTAATACACAGTACCTAACTTGGCCAACCCAAGAATCCAGTGAACTAGATATAATTAACCCCATTTTTACCAATGAGGAAACTGAGGTTAACACAACCAGTCTTCTCTTTCTAATGCTAACTCAGTAGCTATTCTGACTCCAGCCCCAGCTCCCCTCTTTTCCCAGGCACTGTCTCATCTCCCTGATGACTGTCCTTAAGACTACCTATGCTCCAGTTCCCCTTCTTTAATTCTAGGCCTGGCAGACCATGGGCTCAAATTGCCCCTACTGGGCAGAGCAGCCTTTCTCACGCTGCAGGAGGCTGGTAGAGACACTTTCTGAGCTGACACTTGGGTCCTACACACCCATCGCAAGCCATTCCTGACCTGCTCTTGCTTCCAGAGCCTGGGCCTGTGTTTTCAGATGGGGCACAGGACTGTCTCCCTATGCCCCAATGGAGAAATGAATAGCCAACGCTCAGTGGAAATTGCGGGAGACTGGTTGGGCAACAGTGTAGGACTCTTCTCCTCTATGAAACTAGCAGCCAAGGGAAACAGCACCTAGATAATGCTAAGTGAGTAAATGCAAGTCTCATTGAGCACAGCCAGCTGTGTTCCTGAAGAGATCTGTACAAATTGACTCAAAGTAAATTCAATAGGGGAGTTCATGGTGACGAGTCAGTTGACAAAATACAGAATCCTTTGGTAAGAGAATCGTCAATGAATCTTTCCATTTTTTAAAACTTCTAATTTCTATGTTGTGATCTCAGAGGAAGAGTCAAAACCAAATTTTGATCAAAGAAGAAAAGTATAACCTAAGTCTTGTCACGCCAGATGAACCAGAATTTTGGCACAAATTGCCAACACTCATAATACCATCTCCTCTATCACAGCAAAATGGTTCTGGCTCTTTTATATCCATTTATCTTGTTCAGTCCTTAGGACAGGATAAGTAGATAATATCCATTATCCAAATGGACATATAAAGAAATGGAAACAGAGAGATTAAGCAACTTGCTTAAGACCAGCCACCTAATTATGGACACTGTCACCACCAGAACTGAAATCTAAGTTGCCTTTCCCTTTCAACCTTCCCAGTCCTAAATCACTGAAGAACATGAACAGTCCTATTAAAGCAAAACATAAAGGGTCCCAAGGAGCAGATGTACCATAACAGGACCCCCCAAGCCATTGCTACTGGAGAAGGTTCTTAAGAAGCCAAAGATGTCACCTGACCAGGGTGACTTCCAAATACAGACTTACAGAGAATTGGAGTGAGAATTCCTCAGCAGTGGAGTGGAGCCCGTGGACCCATTGTGTGGCAACTTCGGCGATGAAGGCAAAGAAGAGTCCGTCATCTCCTCAATGTCTGAATGAGAGGACGCCGACTTGGGGGACCTCTTCTTCCCGAAAGCTTGCTTGAAGGAGCTGCGTAACTGAATATACAGACCGTCAACCCTGCAGGAGCTGCAAGAATGCTTAGGCCTTGGCTAACAAAGACATGCACACAAAAGAGTGATTAATTCTCCCACGTTTTCACCCCCCAGTGGAAAAAGGTTCCCAACAGCTCTCTTGAATCAGTGCATTAAGGGCAAAAGAGTTATCTGGTGTTGACAGCTCAAAGGACTGGACCTGTGGATAACATTCCATGCCTACTCTGGGTTCAAGACTAGATGCCAACAGCAAGACAGAGCCTGGCTCAGCAGATGGGTGTCAGGAAGACGAGGTGGCACAGCAACAAAGCGGGGTGCTCAGATGTGGCAACGGATGCGGATGAGGTTAGTCATATCAATGGATGGGTTAGCTTGGTATCTGATATTAAAGTTGTGGTCTTGCTTACCTCATTGACCTGCCAGAGAAAACGCAAGCAAAAATGGGGAAGGGGAAGGAAAAAAGACAATTTTTAACAGAGAAAGCCAGTGACAGGAAAAGCTTTGGACTTTTCAGACACAACATGGCTCATAATAAACACCACACACAGAGGAGGTTGCCAGTAGGAACACAAATCCTTCAAAACACTGGGGGCATCTTCCTCCATCATAAAAGGAAGGGAATAGCAGGTTGGGGAGTCCCCTACCATCCAAGTTTTTCCAGCTTCTCTCTGTCTGGTTGAAATGGCTATCCCCACCCTCCAGAGCATCTTACCCTTTTCTTGCTTCTTTCAGCCATCTCTCTATACATTAATTTGGAGGGGAGGGACATGTCTTCTTTTCTGAGCAATGCCTTGCTGTTACAGTGGTCTCACATGGCTGTATGGCTCTTTGATGTATCTACTTAGGAGTTCCTGCTGCTCTTCTATACAAAAAGATAATCTGATAAGCAGGAAATGAGCCATCTCACTTGCCACTCAAAAAATGGGTAGCTTTTTAAAAGAAATTTATTAACCATATTGGGGAAAAGGGATTGCGATATCACAATTTCCCCAAATGATGAGATGGACCTGAAAATTCTAATGAGAACATGAAGAATTAAACACAATGTCTTCTCTAAAAGCCATGAGCAGCGTGTACTTTCTAGGCCAAAAATAATGTTTCATCTTGAGAAAAGGTCTTTTAAAAAGTAATTTTTGGGGCCAGCCCGTGGCTCACTTGGGAGAGTGTGGTGCTGATAACACCAAGGCCATGGGTTCGGATCCCTATATAGTGATGGCCGATTAGCTCACTTGGGAGAGTGTGGTGCTGATAACACCAAGGCCATGGGTTCGGATCCCTATATAGTGATGGCCGATTAGCTCACTTGGGAGAGCGTGGTGCTGACGACACCAAGTCAAGGGTTAAGATCTCTTTACCAGTCATCTTTTAAAAAAAAAAAAGTAATTTTCTTTTTTTAAAGTCTTTTCTCCTTCTGAAAACATATTTTAGGGGCTAGCCATTGAGAATTCAGAAAATGGGCCATTCTGAAAATTGATGAGATTTTTCTACAACAATGTGTTTCATCCATGACAAACTGTGTGTCCAGCTGGTGGGTGAATCGAGATCCCATTTCCTCCTTCTGATCATATCTCCAGAGAGTAGCCACAGAAACAGAAGGATCTGGCACACAAGCCAACAACCCAAATCCTTGCCTCTACCTCTGCTAAAATGCTAGGTGTAAGAGGAGATTACAAAGATTAGACAAAATTAAGCTTTGGGATTAACTGAGGATGCTAATTATCTCCATCCTCCCTGATTTCGCTGATAAGCAAAAGTTGTCTTCAAGAAAACATAAACAAGTTTCATTTCTTGAACTGAAGAAAATGGATAACCATTATTTTACATGGAAAATAATTCCCTCTCATCACTTTGATCAGACCATATTTATTAATCGCACAGTAAAGATGGCAACGTGAGTTAATCCTATCTGCTTAGTCACAGCAAATGAGTTGACCAAAATCCATCAGTAAGTTAAAGAAAAAATTTAATCAGAATGATGAAAGGGTCACACGGAATTAGCCTTTCAGCTTGCCTCCAGTGCAAGTCATCAATAACCACAATTATAAAATCCCTACCTCTTCTATTGCTAGACCTCGCCACCCATCCAAAATGACACAAAATGAACAAAAAGTGCATGGAATGAATGAGGACACTGAAGCTACTATGAAAACACAATGGCATCAGCACTGACAAAGGAGGCCCTTTGAACACCAGCCAACTTCAGATCAACGTGGGACATTTCTGCACTGAAGACAAGGAGCATCAGATACCAGTCAGAGCTCCGCAGCCTCAACGGCAGAACTAAAAACTAGGCGGGGAGGGGGTGGTGGAACTTCCCCAGGAGAGCGGGCAAAACTGTTCAAGACACCATTGTACAAAAATTCAAATAGCTCATTGGAATCATGGCAACATGGAGAAACACCACAGTGGAGACTGATTCTATTAAATTTGCCAAGTACAGTCCCCAGTTTAGAGCCACTCGCTAACTCCTAACATTGATATTATGAAACTTTTATTTACAGAACACGTCAAAAAATTTTTGAAGAGAGAGTTGGTTTGATGCTATCCAAGGCAATTGTATAAACAAAAAGATAAAGATTATAATTAATGATAGAATAACTAGTGATATGTGCTTAAAAAATATTTTGGAATGAACTAAGAAGAAACCACTTAAGAGTAACTTTGTTCTAGTATCTGAAATTTTGTGGCCACAATATAATGAGGAAGAAATGACACATATATGAAATGAAAGACAAGTACTTCACATAAAGTCTCATGGAAGAGAAAAACTACAAAGTGGTGGAGATTCTATTAACTTTAGTGTTTTGCTGAGCACAACACTGATTTTACTAAAAACCCCAAACTGTTTCCTTGGATCTACCCTCAAAGGTCTGTGTTCTGAGGTTAAGAGCTAGCCTGGGCTTTATCTGGAGGGACACTCTGTCAGGCGGTCCCCAGGAGTCTTTGGCTGTACACTCACCCAGTTCTTCCTCTTCTTTTTCTTGGAGTCACTCTCTATGTTGCTGCCCACACTGGAGTGGCTAGTGGCACTGTTGATGCTGGACACACTGTCGGAGGAGTGCTGCCTGCGGATGCGGAGGTCTGCAGACTGGGCGGTGCCATTGCCTGGAGACCAAGGCAGGGTCGGATCAGCAGCTGCTGACTTGATCCCAATCCTTTGTCCGAGAGAATGGCCTTTAAACCGAAACCCACACACCCAAGGGCCTACTAGGTATTTTCCATTTAGACAGCAATTTTTTTCCTCACTGCTCGTTTTAAATCCTCGAGTAGGTGGGTGTGATGTCCTCTTTGGTCAATTAAACGAGGCCTATCACTCCCCACTTTATAAAAGGGAAGTCAAAGGAGGTTTAGGGAGAATTTCCCTGACACCAGCTCTCTTAAACTTCAAATAGGCACGAGAATGTGGTTTTGAACAGGGCAAAAGTCATCTTTGTTGTTAGCCCGTTCTCTCCCCTGCTGTCTGGGCTCTTGCCGCATCAGCCTTCTTCCAGTCCCTGGAAGGCCCCACTCACCTCAGGGCCCTTGCATGGCTGCTCTTTTCCCTCACCTCCATCTGGCCAGCTCTTGCTAATCCTTCTTATTTCAACTCTATCATCAGAAGGCCCAATAAGCGAAAGAACAATGATACTGAAAATAACAGGTGCTGTACAAAATCAAGTTTGCGGACAGGTTTCCTCATGAAGATGGAACTACACCTGTAAGTCTAGTCTTTAAGAGCACTGGTTTTAGAGTCAGACCAACTCAGATTCTAGTCCCACTTCTGTATCTTACTACTCTCTAACCTTAGAAACTGACTCTCATCTCTGAAACTCAGTGTTCTCATCAGTACCCTGAGGAAAGGACCAGTGTCACAGTCACACGGTTGTCGTGGAAGAAAACTAAAGATAGCTAAAGAAATAAAACACTTAGCACAGTGCTTAGAACACAGGAAGTGTTCCCTAAATGCTGGCTATGAATATTACTTCTATTACTCATATTATTATTACTGTTAATATTGTTATTGCAGGACGCAACTCGCCTGCACACCCACATATTTTTTAAACCCCAGCTAAGATACACAAGGACGAAGCAATTCACTCAGAAATGTTTTCCTGGACAAATAGGAGATGAACCCATTTCAGTTTATCCCTTAGCAGCATGTAAATATCAAAGTGTTAGTGAAGTTAAGGGCTATAAAACACCTTGACCCTCTGCCAATAGAAGTATCTTTTCCATTCCTGAGATACATCAGAGAGAGGATGAACTACAGTAGCTGTCTTCATAGAGGCCAGAAGTAACCAGATTATAAGTGTTTGCCTTTTGGGATCTGCTGGACTGACATGAGCTGGATTACACAGCCACCCACCATCTAGCCGGGAAGTTGCATCATACATTGTCAGGGGAGGGTTCCTAAAAGCAGGCTGGTCGTTTGTCTAAAGGCTGTTTCTCCTATGTTACCTTTGCAGTTGAGCTCCGGTGTGTTAATTACTCCATTAATGGCAGCCTGGGCAGCTGCGTTCTGTTTCTTTAACAGCTCAATGGTTTTTCTTAACTCATTCAGTTCTGAATCCTGAACAGAAAGAAGCATTGGTCATCCTAAAATCATTCTGTAAAGAGTTGGACAGCAGTACAACTTAGCTTCAACAGGGGAGGGTAGAGAATGAAGGAGTTCAACAAAACCTATCTCATATATTAAGTTGGATCAATTTTCAACAGGCATAAACGCATGCATAAAAGGAGTGGAACATGATTACGAGATCTGTCACTGAAGCCGTTACCATCATTCAGTCTAAGTCACATTTTCACTCAACAGACCTACTCTTTGTAATTAAATTTTAATGGTTCAAGAAGTACATTAAAATCTATACAATGATCTGAAATGAAAGAGAACAGTATTTTTAGGTTTGTTGTTAACTTCAAGCAGGGAGAAAAAAAAGCATGCTTTCTGATTTACCTTCTGCTCAGCTGTCATGGTCAAACTCTGGAGCCTGATTGTCATGTTTCCAAGACTCTGTTCAAAGGCTGCCACGAGGTGAGCCTGGAGGGGTAAACATGGCCTCAGTTATCATACTTTGCAAGGCAAGAGTACCTAGGTGCTGCTGAGTCTTAAAGACGGAAATCCTCATTGGGGCCACTTGATCTAGTCCCTGCCTGCTTCTTCAGCATCCTATTGAATCCCACTCCCCACCACTCTTTGGGATCCAGGTACTCCTTTCACTTGTTCAAACCCTGTGTTCCTTCCCACCGTAAGGACACTATTCATCCTCCCTCCTCTGCCTGGAATGCTCTTTCCCCACCCACTCCCTGCTCAACTAATTTTTACATGTCTATCTCAAGAGCTCTCAGCTCAGGTCTTCATGACATTCCCAGCCTGGGTTGGTTTCTTCATATTCCTTCTTGCAAGTACCTGTACTTCTGACATGTGCTTTGTGATATCATAGTTAAAAATACATGTAGTCTTGTGATTGCTGATTGATGTCTCTGTCCTCTACTACACTACAGGGATTATCTTCTGTTCACCAAGCGCCAAAATCATAGTAGAGGCTCATATTAAGCATGTTTGTAAAATGAATGGACAAAGTGGCTGGCATATTTTGCTTGTTATAATACTGATTAACAAAAAGCCATGGAAAAGCCATCTGCTACCTCCTTGGAGAAACCTCCAGTTCCCCCAGGGAGTTATGATGTATCCACAGGCTCCCAAGCACTTGTTAGCACATGACATCAGATGTGACTTTATTTTATATATTAAAGAATTTTACATATATAAGAATTTTTTTTACATGCTGCCAATTTTAATGAAATCAGGTGTCCAATTTTCAGAGATGTTAAAATGTGAAAAAAAAAAAAGTGTATCTTAGAATTGAGAAATGTGTTTTCCTGCCTGCCACATTCTCTGCAACTCTCTTCAAGGGCAAGAGGTAACTTTGTATCCCAACACTAAGCCATCTGCCTGGGACACAGAGTAGTAGGTGAAATGTTGGTTGGTTGAATGAGGATCCTGCTAATGTCATTAAAATCAGGAATAAAGAATGGATGCTTTTCAAACAGTCACGCTAAGGAATTTTCAGCAATCAAATTAAGAATCCGTTAGCTAGAAGCCATCTGCCTGGGACACAGAGTAGTAGGTGAAATGTTGGTTGGTTGAATGAGGATCCTGGTAATGTCATTAAAATCAGGAATAAAGAATGGATGCTTTTCAAACAGTCACGCTAAGGAATTTTCAGCAATCAAATTAAGAATCCGTTAGCTAGGATCCTCTAACCTCTAACCTCTACTTGTATAAATGGAACAGCAGCATGTCCTACAGTTAGAGCAACTGGGCAGCAGATGACATGGACCACTAGACTGTGCACTTGATGAGGGCTGACCATGTCTAGCTGCTCACCCTGGGCAGCAGATGACATGGACCACTAGACTGTGCACTTGATGAGGGCTGACCATGTCTAGCTTGCTCACCCCTGTGTCCCCACTGCTGGTTCAAAGCAGCCACGTGATAAATATGTGTTGGGTGAGCAATTAAAGGATTAAAAGAAAAGCACTTACATGAAGGAGGCAATGTGGCATAGGGGAAGGGAATAGGATTTAAGAGTCAGGTCTTCAGCTCTCATCCTAGTTCCTTCTGATTATCCATAATGCTGAGCAAGTCATCTAATCCTAATGACCTCAGTTTCTTTATGAAATGGGAACAATATTTATTTTCCTCCCAGGGTTATTTTGAGCATTAAATGAAACAAGGTAGGTGAAAATGGTCTACGAACTGTTGAGGAATTGCAAAACACAGGATAAATGGGCGCCGTCGGGGGAAGAAAGAGGTTTGGGAATGAGAAAGTAACAAAAGAAACTATGAGAGGAGATGTACTACCTGAGAACGCAGGTGTAGGGAGGGGGAGTAGATACACAGAGGCTACAGGAAGCATGAGAAGGAGGGGATACTTGGGGAGAGTCTGGGAAGAAGTAAAACTTGATCATGCTGTAATATTCTAGAAGAAAAGATGACTGGTACACACAGTGAAGAATAAAAGCCGGATAACAAAAGAGGGAGGGGACAGGAGGAGAGAAGGCTTTGCTCTGGCTGTGAGGAGGGTCAGTGACATTTCAATCTAAGGAGAGATCTGAGGATTGAATCAGAGGCCTCAGTTACTAGACTTCATCAAGCAGAGATGGTCAAGGCTAAGACATCTCTAGATTCAGCTGTTGGCAGGAGCAGGACCACCTGCAATAGAAATGTTAAGTGGAATAGCTAGTTTCTTTCTGATTGCACTCCCTCTATTAAAAATAGAGAAAATGCCTCTGCGTTTTAAAATAGAGATATGCTTAGTTTGCCCTGGAGAATGTGGCAAAACCAAAGCCAATCAATTCAAAACAGTCACACAGTGGATGAAGGACCAGGCCAGGACATGGATTTCTAAAAGAACGTCTGCTATCCTTGCATTGCAAAGGAATGACAAAGTTACATTTAAATGACTGCATTTCCATTTGTTCCAATTCTGCATTTGATTGCCACCCATGATTCCAGTTGCGGGCATGCATATTTTCTATTTAATTAAAAACAAAAATAAAAACCTGACCCCATGAAGACTGCTACTGAGAAAGCGTTTCTGCAAGCTCAAAAAGAAACCGCATTTACCCTGCAGAACCCAAGGAACTCATTCTGCTGGCAAGTGGAAGGGCTGCCTTTGTGTCATGAGCGCAACTATGAACATACAGACTGGAGAGGCCGACCCAAGCCTGGTTCTGAGCCACACAACAGCCCTCTCATCGAGCGCCGTTCTCACATTCCCAGGGAAAACAAACATAAGGGGTATAAAAACACCTGAGGAAGGTGGCTTTGAGTAGTCTGTCCTAGAAAAACAAACACAGCTTGGTCTATGAGAAAGATGGCAGACAATAAAACACGTTAGCACTGACGTGTGTGGTAAGACTAAATATTTACTTTAAAACAATATTGGATTCAAGGCTATTATGAGGAGCAAAACACACGTATAAAATAATATAAGGGATCTCACTCTGACTCTTCTGGAACAGACAGTAAAGTTCCGAATGGCCCAGTGTAAGGCTCCTTGTCGTAACACAAGGTCACTGGAGGAATTAACCCAAGTTCACTGATAAGAAAATTGTTTACCATTTGTTGATCAGTAAAGAGCAGCAATTGATGGCTGTGATTCTTAACTAGGAGAGTAGCTCAGAATCACTTGGGAGGGGGTTGCTGTCAAATCTCACATGTTTGATTATGCCCAGAAGACCCTGGCTCACTGGGTATAGAGTATGTTCTGGGTTCAAATGCACCCATCTGCTTATCCAGATGAAGAATCTAAATTTAGAATACCTCAGCTGTGTTTCTGAATAGGATCTAAGCCTCAGAATTCAGTTCTCATGTCAATTTCTAATGTTCTTTTGATAGCATTACGGATGGTAAAAGAGGTAAGGAAAATAAAAGATTATGAAACACACAGTGGCCTAGTATGTTAGGGCCCTGAAATAAATCAAAGATTTCCAGAAATATCAGAGAACTTAGGAGACTGAATAATATGGGGGGGCAGCTGCCATTTACTGAGTTGGTAACTAAGGTCAAGCACTGTGCTGGGTACCTCATGGGCAGATTTTAAAAAGAAATAGTTTTCTTGAGTAGACTCAGGTGCAAGCTGGGAATTACCAGTGCAAAAACTCCAGGTAAATGATTAATTTGGAGTATTGACTCAGTTTCCTAATCAAAGGAAGACAACCTTTTGAAGTTGCTCTCCATTTTAATAGCACCAGGGTCACGCAGGTTGCTTTCTGACAGGTTTGAACACATTCATGTGTGGTCTCAGGCTGGGCTGTGAACTGAGCAGGAGGCCCTGCCTCAGAGGCATTTTTTTTTTTTTTTTTTGGTGACCAGTAAGGGGATCGCAACCCTCGGCCCGGTGTCGCCCGCACCGCACTCAGCCAGTGAGCGCACCGGCCATCCTTATATAGGATCCGAACCCGTGGCGGGAGCTCCGCTGCGCTCCCAAGCACTGCACTCACCCAAGTGCGCCATGGGGCCGGCCACTCAGAGGCATTTTGACACCTTCCAATATCTCAGGCTCTGCTTCTGGTGCTTCAGCCCTCGCCAGGCCACAGGTCTGCAGCAGGGCTCCTTTATAGACTGGGCTGATTTTTTTTGGTGACCGGTAAGGGGATCGCAACCCTCGGCCCGGTGTCGCCCGCACCGCACTCAGCCAGTGAGCGCACCGGCCATCCTTATATAGGATCCGAACCCGTGGCGGGAGCTCCGCTGCGCTCCCAAGCACTGCACTCACCCAAGTGCGCCATGGGGCCGGCCACTCAGAGGCATTTTGACACCTTCCAATATCTCAGGCTCTGCTTCTGGTGCTTCAGCCCTCGCCAGGCCACAGGTCTGCAGCAGGGCTCCTTTATAGACTGGGCTGATGGGGTAGGAGACCCCTGCCTCTACTCTGACTCCTCTAATCCTCTTTCCATACCACAGTCTGGAAGCTTCCTAAAGAGCAAATGAGACCACCTCGCTGCTTGTTTAAAACTCACTGACGGGCTCTAACTTCAGGAGGAAGTTCAAACTCTTAGCCTAACAGCTAAGACAATGTGTTTGGACCCTTGCCTTTCTCTGATGCCTTCTTCCTTCCCATTTCCTTTTCCTCCCCACCCCTGCCTTTCCCCTACATCCAAGCCCATAGACTCTAATGACATCTAGCTACTTATAGTTCCAAGTGCACCAAGATCTTTCACCTTGGCCTTTACGCAAACTATTATTCCCTTTGGTTAGAATGCTGTCCTCCTCATGCACCACCCCCTACACAGCACCCATCAAATGTCACCTCCTCCATGAAGTCCTTCCCAATCCCCCCTCCCACCGAGACTGATTTGGGTGTTCCTCCTATCTATTCCCACAACCTCCTCCCTTTATCTCTATCATGTCACAGCAAAATTGTTTGTCTTGTCTCCACTGTACCAGAGATGAATACTAAGATGACAGTGACTGTGCTTGCTTTGCTGTTGAACCCACAGTGCACGGGGCACAGCTGGCACTCAAACAGTTGTTCAATTGAATGCTGGTTGGCAGTGTCTCCTGAGCATGGAATCGTGTATATTATAATCACAGAGCAGCTGGCTATTTATTATGGAGTCCCAAATTTCTTTTTTTTTCCTTCCCCCTTTCTTTCTTTTTTGTTTTTCTCTTAAGATCAAAATTTTCAGAAAGGGGAAGCTACAGGAAATTAACGTTTCAGTGAGCACTTAATATATCACAAGCAACAGCTCTAAGAGGTGTTATCACCCCCATTGCACAAATGAACAAACACAGGCTCAGACGTTAAAGAACTTGCCCAAAGTCATGGAGCCAATAAGTGTCAGAACTGACATTCACACCCATGACGCTAGGGCTTGTGTTGTTTTTATTACAGTGTGTCACTTCTATAGTGTTCGGACACAGGAGGTACTAAGGCAATGCTCAGAAGGCAGGAATGGTGGCCTCCTGTCCCAGTGCCTACCACCCTGTGCCTGTACTTACATTTGCTGTCAGCTGAGTGGTCAAAGCTGACACCTTCTCCTGGGAGGCATCTAGTTCCCGCCGTAGTTTGCGAATCTAAAGAAGACAAGGGACAGAGTTACTTGCTTTGTGAGCCCATTTCCAGGTTGAGCTGGGTAAAATAATTGATAATAGTGAAGAAATCCAACCAGCAAACTGTTCCTTACCTCTGACTGGCATTTTTCTTCAGGCTGCAAAGAAAACAAAAGGGAAATTAGACCAGTTGAGGAACAAAGAATAGTGTAGTCCAGCCTATGGGGAACATGATATTTGGATATTTATATCAGTCTGGAAGATTTATTAGTTTCTTTTTGGTATATTTCTCTAGATAAACTTTTCCAATTAAATGGACCCATCAGAAAGGCCAAATACAAATAGCATATTATTTTAAGAAATTAAGAGGAATTAGGACACCACTCTGGCTGCTCTGGTTGTGAGGAGCCATGCTATCCACCGTGTTGATGGTGATGGGGTAAGGTGCTCAGGAGAAGGTATGTGGTGAGAATGGCACAAGCCATATTTAGCAAACAGAAATACCAGACTATCAATTAAATTTGAATAGTTTTTTTAGTCTAAGTATGTCCTGTGCAACTGTATGTGGTGAGAATGGCACAAGCCATATTTAGCAAACAGAAATACCAGACTATCAATTAAAATTTGAATAGTTTTTTTAGTCTAAGTATGTCCTGTGCAACTCTGGGGATATACTTATAATAAATAATTATTTGTTTAATCTGAATTTCAAATTTAATTGGGTCTTCTGTATTTTATTTGGCAACTCTATCCAGGCAGGAAGGAGGACTGCTTCCAAGTTAATTCTGCCCCATTTAATCCCTCCCTCTCACCTTCCTAGGGCACAGCAGGAGCAGAAAACAGCAGGGAAGGAAATTCTCAAGGTGAGGGGGGCTGGGATCCCCTATCAGCCAGCCTAGTAGCTCCACAGGCTGTGAGTATAGATGTGGCCTTCATCTTGCTGCTACCCCACCTCGAATCCCCCAGTTACCTGTGACCCTGGGAAGTAAGGGTGAATCCCATGGCCCTTACTGACAGAGACTTCTGTGCTAGCTGTCCATGGTGACATAGGTACCTGACAGTCAGAAGCTACAAGACTATCTCTCTCCTCCTACATGGGGAACCCACTGCAGGATGGGAGAACCTGCTACAGGATGAACCTTTCTTTCCCTCCTCTGGTTCCTATGGGGACCCATAAAGAAGAACCCACTGCCTTTCCTGGAAATGTTGGAAGTATTCCTGCCCTTCTCTCCACCCACTACCGCAATATCCCCAGGGGTGGTGGAGTGACTTGGATGTAGGTGAGTGGACATCAGTAAGGACCCTAATCTGTCTTTGGGTCCCCACTGAGTGTCCTAATCCAATTTTATTAGTAATAAACCCATTACTTTTAAAGATCAGCATCTGTCTCTGGTGACTACTCTATTGGTTTAGAATACAAAGGGGTCTGATTTATTAGTCCCTGCAGACCCCATGTGCATCAGCTGGAGCAGGTGGGCAGCTGTATCCTGTCTGATCACTCTTCACCCCTTGCTCCCCACTGTCCTCCCTCTTGATCCTGTCCAAGAGCCCCTTTCCTCCAGGCTGGTTCCTAACAGCAGCAGCTAATTTTTAAGTACAGGGGGCCAAATCATTTAATCCTTACAGTAACTCCATAAAGTAGGTTGGTCTGTATTCCTTCTGAGGTTCAGAGAGGTTAAGTGTCTTGCCTAAAGTCACACAGATGAACAATCTCCTTATCTAAGAAATGCTTTCAGGAGAAGGATGGAAGATGTCCTCAGGGCTCACTCTTCCCTCCCAGATAATATTCTTCTACCCCTCTGTCTGTCCATCCCTCTGTCCATCCATCCATCCCCACTACCACCACCTATCAAATATTTATTGATTTTCTACTACATGCCAAGCACTGTTTTAAGAATGCCGGACACAGCTGTGAACACCAGAGTACTGACCTCATGTTGCTCATATTCTGGTTACAGTAACTAGCATTTATTGAATGCTTTCCATGTGCCAGAGACTATTCCAAGCACTTTACATTCATTATTCATTTAATCCTTATAACAACCCTTTGAGTAGGTACTAATACCATCGCCTTCTGTTTTGCATATGAAGAAATTGAGGCACAGAGACGTTAAGTCCATGGTCACATGGTAGAGCTGGGATTGGATCCAAGGTAGTTTGGCTCCAGAACCTACGATCTTACCCAATACACCCTCCTGCTCTTTGACCATAGCTACATTCTCATGGAGACTTTCCAGAAAGAAGGTCCCTGACTTCTGAGTCTGATCCAAAGGAGAGAAGTTTATGGTGAGACTGTCACAGCTAGTTAACACTAACATGAGGCTGAACCACCCATACAGGACCAGTTTTACTTCTAAATACTTCTGTCAACAGGCCTTAACAGTGCTTCCCCATGCCTCTGCCACTGTCTGTCATTGTGCCCACCTGTCTCTGGGGTTGGGCCCCCATTCTCAAAAGCAGCCTGGGGAAATCATGTGCTTTGTATCTTGCCCCCAGCTGCTGCTGCTCTTCTGTACATCTGGGAACCCTATGTGAAGTTGCAGGCCTCCCCATCCACCCAGCATTTCCCTGGGGAGCTCAACTGCTGCTCCCAATCAACCAGGAAAGCAAATCTGATGCCAGATGTGGCCTCTTAGATTTTCTCTACTCTAAGGGCTGGCCATGACTTCTCCTTGGCAATTATTGAGCATCAGGTTGCCTTCTCTTTCATTTGTAATTAACATCACAGACACATTTCAGGCAGAACGAGCATTCTTAAAAATCTAAGAATTACAGAGATTTCAAGGAAAGAACCTACTGGTATAGAATGACAGCCTTTAAAACTTTCACCTATTAAGCAGACTCCTTTTTCTGGGTCTGTGGCAACATAAGAGACCCCAAAGATCTCTTTTTAGACAACAAATACTTGTTAACCTTAACATTTACAAAGGTTCCTGAGAATCTGCTTCAGAATTTTATCATAACATCAGTTAATTAGAGCATGGTGCTGATAACCAAGGTCAAGGGTTCAGATCTATCAGCCAACAGCAAACAAAAACAAAAACAAAAACAAAAATTTGTCATCACCAAAAAGCTAATAATAGATAAGAGACAACACATCAGTGCTAGATGGTAGCAGAGTCTAGCCAGACTTGCAGTTTTTCTTGGAATTAATAGGCTATTATTCTAGCATGAAAACATTCAGATGTTAGGCTATTTTTTAAAAGTCTGCAAAAAGTAACCTGTATTTTCAGAGAAGCACATATAAGGACAGCAAATGGGAAGCTTTGACTTCATGACTCATGGAATGTCAGAGATTGTGGGGACCTCAGACCACCAGCTTGTTCAGCTTCCTGACCCTGAGGGCAAAACTGAGACACACCCTGAAAAACAGGGTGATTTGTCTAGTAACAAAGTGAGAAAAAATAAGATTAGACTTTGGGTCTCCTGCTATCCAGATGAACATGTAATTAAAAATTATTATTATTAGATCTTTGATAATTTGTTGAACTTACATCAACTAAGAAAGGACAATTTAAATTTCATGAAAATACCATCTTCATGTCCACATACCCAGAACAGCAGCTACTGGAAGAGAAGCCTTCACTACAGGCACTCCAGTGGTTGGCATGAAGGGGGTGCCCCAGGAATTGCATGTGACTGTTTCCTAGATCTGAATACCCACAGGTGGAAAAGCTCATGCTCTTTCACTTCCATTTTTCGCTTTTCTGAGAAGGGCTCACCCCTCTCTGTGTTGGCAGAAACCCCTGGGAATGCCACTGGGAAAATATAGGCCTGGGGCACTAAAACGTCTGCTGTGGCTGCTCTGTACCAACCCTGGGAAATTAGAGTCCCACGTCCCTGGGTGCCCTCTGCTGCCTCTGGCTTCCTCATTCAGTAGCAGGCTGCTTTCTCCCCTAACCCCTCTTCTTGGGGCTTAATCTAGAGCCTGTCATATACATGGTGCCAGTAAATACTGCTGAAGAAGTAAATTTAGGTTTGAAAGTACCATCCTTGATACCCATATACCAGACTTTATTTCTAGAAGAAAGTACTTACTTTATCCACTGGCTGATAGCTGAAAGGCCATTTTTATGCTTTCTTAGTAGATAAGTAGAACCCTCCCCAACAGTACCCCATATAAAGCCTTTAAAAGGAAAGCCACAGAAAATTTTTTTTAAAGAAATAAAAACCAGGACCTGGTGATGAAATTTCAGATGAGATGATTAGCTAAGGAAAGGGGAATTTTGAAGCTGTGGGGGTGAAGTAAGAGCAGAAGAAAGAGTTTCTAGGTCTTTCAAAGCAGACCATGGCAGCAATCACTGAAGTCTGTGGCTCACTACAAGCCTGAGAAAGAGCAATCAAGCCCTGGTTTCTTTAACTTAATTCTGAGCTGGCCTCTTACTTTCAAGGGGCTATACACAGTTTACCCTGCTATACAGCACAGAAACCTGGCCTCGTCAAAACCTGAATTATTAAAACATTCATTTCCATGGAATTCGGGGCTAAAGAATTTCTAATCTACAATTAAAGTGATTTTTTTTCTGTAGAAATTCCAAAATTAACATTTTTAAGATAAATAATATAGATAGCTATAAAAAGTAAGTGCGACTGAACAAATCCAGTAGTACTGCAAATCCAAATGTATTTGATTACATCTGGCTTTTGTTTAATAAACCTCTCGATGATAGGTAGCATTTAGCAGTGCTTACTCTGAGCTGTCTGTACTCTATTCATTGCTTTACATGCATTTTTTTATTTCTTTCGATCCTATTTTTTGAACACCTACTATGTGCTGGACAATTTTCTAGCACTATGAAAAAAACAAAAAAGTCCTTGTTCTCAAGGTGTTTATACTGTAGTGAAATGTAATCTTTGTAACACTTGATCCTCATTACAATTCTATAAAATAGAGACTGCTATTCTTTCTACTTTACAGATAAAGAAACTGAAGCAGACAGAAGATTAATAAGTTGTTCAAGACCTTTTCCAAGTCGACCAAGAGGTAGCCAAGGCTTCTCACACATTCTAACTAGATACCACTCAAACCACAATATCACTTTAACAAAGCAGCCAGTTCCTGATTTATTAGTTGGTATATTAGAATTAATAGCTGATTGTGTATTTCAAATCTTGTTCCCTAATTGAGTCCCTTGTAATGGAAGTGCTCTCTCTACGAGAAATGACTGTTTTATTCTTGACACATTTGATAAAGAAAACTCCAGTTCATGATCATAGCCACATAGCATTGATTTATACTCACTGTAGAATAAATTGACGACGTGCTGGAAACCAATGAGAGTGAGGATCCGTGAACTATTAAAACAAAAAAAAGAAAAGAAAAGGTGAATTCCACGGCTGGCTGGTATGGAACCAAAAAAGGGGGAGGGAAGGAGGAAATCAGCAATTACAGGATACTACCAGGCTCGGAATGACTTAATCTCAGCTTGACCCAACCTTTCCCAGTAGGGTGATAGGACAGCACCAAATAAGGAATAATTTGCTAAGGAAGTCACTTTTCTATTATCACATTTTTCTATGACCTACGTACTTTTTTCTTGACTATCAAAATAATATATGTTTACTGAATGAAAATTCTCAAGTACAGAGAAGTGTTAGGAAGCATATTCACTGTCATAACCTGCAGTGACTCATAATTCCACCACCCGGAGGCAACCTGATACCATTCCAGCATACTTTATTCCACTCTTTTTTCTAATGTATTCCTTCAGGGTTAAGATTGTGTTCCATATATATTTTATACCCTGCTAGCATCTGTCACTTATATATGCAAATAGATGAACTGATTATTTTGAACCGAAGAGGCTGTTGGCCACAGTAAGCTTATTCTAGATGACCACTAGCACAACATTGTTTAAGAAAACATATCCACTGATATACAGATTCTTTATTTGATTTCTAACAAGTCTACAAAGTGATGAGCAAGCAGTGTCCTCTTTTCTGTTTTGGACTTGTACTTTTTGACTTAGAATCATACTCCAATACCCTTAGCACCTCTTCCTGCTTCCAGCCAGAGGACACATTTTATCATTTGTTCTAATTTTAAAGCATGGTCTTTTCCAAGACTGGGTATCCTGGTTGCCTTCTCTTTCTGGAAACCAGGTTCTTAATTTTCTTGGTAATCTCTAGACAACTTGTTTGAAAGAGAGAAATATTCCTGTGTCAAAACTTCACAGGCCTTTTAACTGGACACAGCTTTCCTGACCATGGGTGAAATGCCTCTACTCCCACACTGAGCAAAAGAGGGAGGCTCAGGAGTAACTATCCATGGGTACTCAGTGGCATTCACCTACCACCCAAGAAGTGACCTCAACGTGGATTAGTGGTTGGCAGAAGCTATCCACCCAGAAGATACCTAATGAACAGCTCAACCTAACACTTTGGTACCCCTCTCCATTGTCTTTCCAGTAAATATTACCTGACCTCCCATCCTTCCTTTATATGTTCCTGTCATGCTCTGAATCCTGCCCTTCTCTCCCAAGCATGCTCTAGGATAGTACTTTGAGTCTGCCCATGCAGTTCTCCTTGTTAGTGTGCCTAACCAGATCAGGATCAGCTCGAATGGCATCTTCTCCAGATAGCCTTTCCTCCTTTCCCTAATTGCCCCCTGGAGGGGCTTCCTCCTTCCTCTGAACCAACACAGCCCTTGGCTTGACACTCTAGCACTCTCCTCTCTTAGCAGGTGCCTACTGCTCTGGGGCTGTCCCTACACCATTGCAGACATCTACCCTCCTCAGCAATGCCCTGAGTTCTAGAACTTTTCCTCCATCCTTTCTCCCTCCATGACTAACCTGACTCATGCCCCATAAAGTCAGTTTAAGGTGTTAATAGCTAATAATGCTTTCAGTGTTCATATATCCACAAATAAACAGAGAACTCCAATGCTCTAACCTACTGGCCTAACGTTCCAAACGAGTAAGTCACTTCAGCTCCATGACACAAACAGTAGTGGAGAGATTATACTGGAGGCCACCTTGGTGAAGAGATGTGGGTAACATGAAACCACTCTCCAATCATACCTACATGACTGCCCTGCCAGAGGCCCACTCCAGGGGCCTGCATAGAGCTGCTGCATGGCCTTTGGCTGCTGGAAATGGAAGGGTTTTTCTTATATTTCTACATCTCATACACATAAACTTACAAATGCAGTTTCAGCAATAACTCAGTGCAAGCTTGGGGCCACATGCAGAGAAGAGCACATCTGGCAGGCTTAAGGTAAAGGTAATTATTTTTCTCTATAATTAACTCCTCTCATTTGTTAAATAGCAACAGTGAGGCTGTGGTCCAAAGAAACAGATTCCTTGATTTCCAGAGTCAACCCCAAACTGAATGTGACTTGCCTGAACCACTGCAGTTGGCCCTCTTTCAAGTGAACTGAGCCAAGTCAGAGACTGGGTTATGTTGAGTGGATACTTTTGAACAACAAAATGCTTATGAGACTTACAGAGCCAAAACAGCTAAAGCATGCCATGTAATTTTCCTCCCTATACCTATACCTCCAAAATCTTACAGCTATAAGGAACCACAGAGAATATCTAGACCATCTCTGCCACTGAAGAAGAGGTTAAATGACTTGCTTAAGGTCACACAGCAATTCAAGAACATAATCTGCTGACCAGAAGCATAGAGACTCCTCTGCCCTTGAGTGACCTGGTTTACTGGTTTCTGGATTTTTTGTTTGTTTTTAAACAGCCTTTTAGTGTTTTTTAGAGTGATTTCCTAATCCCCTCATGCAATCTACACATAAGCACAAGCTGGAACTGATGTTTGAGAAGAAAGATAAGCTTTGGGTAGGACTGAAACCACTAGACAGATGAAACTACTGGACATATACCAGGCAACAAAGCAATCAAGTGCCTCTGATGGCACACTTGGGCTTCTCATGTACATACATACATACATACATACATATATAGTTTCACACTAGTTAAAGTACTTTCTCATTTATACTATTGTTTGGAGTAATCCTCATTGTCATAGAGAAATTGCAGGTAATAATCCTAGATTAGCAGGAGTTACTACCCATAATTAATAAATGAGTAAATTAAGGCCCACAGTAGATGAGTCATGTGTCCAAATACACACAGCAGTCAGGAGCAGAGAGAATGTGCGTCTAGGCATCACGCTCTAGTTCTCATTCCACAGATGGGAACTACGGAAGGAACCAGGGAGAATGAGATGCAGTCCTGACGGCTAACAGACTGCCCTCCTCTCAANTCAAGTGCCTCTGATGGCACACTTGGGCTTCTCATGTACATACATACATACATACATACATACATATATAGTTTCACACTAGTTAAAGTACTTTCTCATTTGTACTATTGTTTGGAGTAATCCTCATTGTCATAGAGAAATTGCAGGTAATAATCCTAGATTAGCAGGAGTTACTACCCATAATTAATAAATGAGTAAATTAAGGCCCACAGTAGATGAGTCATGTGTCCAAATACACACAGCAGTCAGGAGCAGAGAGAATGTGCGTCTAGGCATCACGCTCTAGTTCTCATTCCACAGATGGGAACTACGGAAGGAACCAGGGAGAATGAGATGCAGTCCTGACGGCTAACAGACTGCCCTCCTCTCAACCAGCAAAAGAAGCACAGCAGAACAGAGAACACACTGACAATGGATCACAGCTTGCCTCAGGTCAAAAAAGCTCAGCTAAGCCAAATGTCAAGGTAGGACTGAGTAGAAATAGAGGGCTAGGACCTAGTTCCGGTGCATAAAATCTTCAAGTCACTACTTCAATTTCACCATCCAAAAAAATGGGGATGACAATGGCCTTGGAGGAGAAGGATATGACATGACAATTATAACAATAGCTACCATTGATTGAGTACTTACAATAAGGCCCTTTCAAAGTTATTTGCTAAATGCTTTTAGGATTTATCTCACCTACTCTGCACTTCAATCCTCTGAAGCAGGTGTAATTATTTTCCACATTTTAGAGAATAGGAAACAGGTTGAGTGAGCAGGGTCAAGTGCCTTCCCCTAAGTCACATTTCTAACAGCGGAGGTGCCAGGATTTGAAACACAACTGGAGCTCAGGGGCTAGACACACCAGTGAGCTGCAACACAAGATTTCCTTATTAATAAGCTACTCTGCTCTGAGATTCCATATAAACTGATAGGGCGGGGGTTTCTGTGTTTTAGATTATACTAGATCTTAGTGATGATTGGTGAAGTCACAGGAATTTTTTTCTCCAAAGATATCCATTTTAAAAATGCCTCAAGCATTCCCCTAAATGTACGCTATTAAAGCTGACTTTAAGATTGCATAATGCATCTGATGGAAATTAATTTACCTGAAATAACTTTGAAAGGTTGCATCTGGGCCATGCCTGTACCTAATCTACATATTTATGATACTCACTTCCTTCAAAAGGGAAAGTGCTAATTAAATTGCACAAAAACCTCACACAAACACTCGTACTAATTCTTCCTAAATTTCTGTCCTGCTTTATGGCATATGATACACCTAATTGACTATTATAAGGCTGTTCTATTTGGTCTAAACATGAGGTGTGAATTTTTCCCCAACTGTTCCTACAACAATGGTAGTTTATAAATTTAAAAGGAAAAAAAAAAAAAAAAAGAAGTCTTCACCCATAGGGATTAAACACACCTAACTACAGAGGCCCTATTTTATTTTGTAATGTAATGGTTTTGAAAGAAATAAAATCAATCTGATGCCAAATTTCCCAAAAGATGAAAAGGTTATGTGTTCACAGTATATAGACAGCAGTCCCTCCTCCTTCCCCCGAAGTTCGATTTTTACTTCTGTGCTTCAATTCCATGTCACCATGAATCACTGGGTTTACAAAAGTCTAGACACTGCTTGTGGGCAAGCACTTTTTTATCAATGTCATTTTGACATGCCAGCTATTCCACAGTTGTGCTGCCTGACAGCTTGGTTACAGATGGAATAAATAAAAGCTATCTGATGATGATACTGTAATGGTCCTGGACCTTCATGAGGCAACATGTGCTTGTCTGGACAAGTTTCAGAACTGAACGTGATTCACTCAGGTACACACATGACAGAGAAAATGAATACAGCACAGGGCTAACTCCATATGCAAGTCATCACAGGGAGGGTGGGAAAGGCTCCATGGCTGTGCTTGACCAGAAACAAGTTCAAGACAAACTGCTGCCTCCTTCACCTTCGGGTCAGTATATCCTCCACTACTACAGCTCTGAGCGTAATAGCATTGATTACTAGCCCTTCAATCTAGCAAAATACCTTTACTCAGGCTCCTCCCCTCCTTAATCTTCTGTCCCAGCAAGTTACCACATATGGATTTATAGACTTGCATCTGTTCACCGGATGCAAATGCTACATAAATCAGAGGGGACAGTATTAAGTCACAAAGAAGATTAACCAGGGGGCAACTGCTCTGCAACTAAATTCTTCATGAAAACGTTTGTTAGAGAATAAAAGGAAAAAGCAGAAGCCTATATCTTGTATTTCTCTCCCTTTTGACTTGGAATTTCCTAAACAATCACACAAGTTTGTCCTTTCTTACCAGGAGGATGCTGGGCATATTTTCCCAGTCTTGTAGGGACTGGGACCAGAGGAAAGCACCTATGACTCACCTCACCCCACACACACATTCTGTCTTGACACTGGCAAAAAAAAAAAAAAAGTCACAACTAGAGATATGGCCCTCAGCCTGGGCTCCATGTGCTTCAAGAGTCCCCAGCCAGAGGATGCCGATGCTGAAGCTGTGCGTATAGGCTATGACATGTAATAACATTACTGTGTTAACATGTATAGGGATTATGTCACTTAATTCTCATAATTCCCGCTGTATTGGTGAAAAACCAGAGGCAGAGAGGTGAAGCAACTTGCCCAAGGCCATCTACCTAAGAAGCAGTGGAGCTGGAATTCAAACTCTGCTAGCCTGACTCCATGTTCTAAGCATCAGTCAGTGGGTCCTACCTCCAATGTCCCATCAGCCCCATCTTTGGGGGCCAGGGGTGATGTCCTTCCACAGGATCTTGACTGCTTGTTCCCCTAACTCACACCTCAGGTGAAGGAACAAACAGAAATAGAAATGAAATAAGTTGTGAAGATGGCTGATCAAAGTTGCCCACAGAATTTTTCTCCTGTGCTTCTGACCAAAGAAGTAAAAAGGGCACAACTGAATGCAATATACTTAAAAATCTGGTGCTTGAGAGAGGAGATAGAAAATTCTGGAGTGGAGCAGAGAGGCATGGCTGCCCAGCCTCCCAGTGCTACGCAGGTGTGTGAACACAGGAAAATGAATTCTCCACTAACTCATGCTGCCAGGAGGGTGAGCCAGAGGCTGAATCTCCAGATGGAGGCACATGCCAAGACACGGTGGCCCAAATCCAGGACAGCAAACCCTGGAGCCGAACTCAGTCCGCTCCAAGGCTCACCAGTGTTTTTGCAGCAGCCTGTGCCCTAGAATCCTCAAAGGTTAATTAAGGGTCAGACCTTACTGTTCGGAGTTCCTAAACCCTGAACCTCAGAGTAGGTAGGAGAATTTGAAGCACTTTCAGGTGGGCTCTCAGGTCAACAAAGTGAACTTGGCCAAGAGGACCACTAGACACGTGAGTAACCTGGGAGACGATGAGTCTCCTACCTTACCTACCTTCTTCAAACCCATCCCGGAATGAACCTGAACGGCTCATGGTTCTGCTCTTCTCATCCAGGGACATGGAGCTATTCCGGAAGCGGCTGTCAGTGTACGGATCATACTGCCCATCGGCATTGGAGAGGCTATGGGTCCTCAGCATGGTCGGGTTGGACAAGCTCATCTGGGTGACGGTGGTGGGACTCGCTGGAACAAAAGGAACAGAATCAAAGGTTGAAAATTCATGTCTCTGTTCGAATCCTAGATGGAGACAAAGAGGAGACTGCTTATTGTCAGCCACATGTGTTCTTGCCAACTTCTCTCCCTCGTCTATTTTCAAAAGGTAGTCGCATCAGCATTTGAGTTACATGCTTAGAGCTAAAAATAAGGGAGCAAAGTCGGGTCAGTTCCAAAGCAAGGCTCTGGGCCTCGGCTTTCCAACTTGGCATGTTCAGACAAGCCAGTGTCACCTTCCAGGCATGAGCTAATTACTCCCTGGGCTCATCTGGAACAATTCTCTCTAAACCCAAAAGCCCAAAATAGTCCAACCAGGCTTTTGATCAGATGGGAAGCATTTGTGCATGACAGGACTCTCTTTCCTTAAAGAATTATGACTGTAGAAGAACAATACGAACACAGGTCTCCTTGCCTCAGACGGGGAATATTTAATAATGGTATATAAAGAGCTTTAATGCAAATGGGGCATGTTTACCTTAGCTAAAACTAGCTTTCTTATTAAAATTCTGTCCATTTTAGTAATGCACAGTATTTTTCAGAGGTACCATTTAGTTCATCAAAAACAAAATGAAACCTCACTTGTTTACAAACCACACCTATCCTCAAAGACTATGACTTTATTATTCACAATACTCGAAAAGGCTGCCTCTCTGAAGAGTGAGATGAAACTGGAAAAGATTGTTCCCTTCTAACAGTCCTCCAAGGCTCAGCTCCCATCCTGCCACCTTTGTGGAAACTCCGTCAATAACTTCAGCCAGCACTGATCTTTCCTTTTTGTAACTGTGTATAATACTTGCTATCTCATTATACTCAGTTTTTACATGATTTCACATAAAGCTTTGGATTGTTCTGTTTAACCCTATTTTATGGGTCTGCATGGGTGTGTTTTTCTCTCTAAAAAAGAATCCATTGACATTATCAGCAGGGATTGTGTTACAAATTCTTTTCCTTTCCCCACTGTGCCAGCCAAAGAATTATGTCAGCAATAGACATTTCTAAGAATAGTCGGTTCAATCAAAACTTAACTTTTATTTCCAGCTTAACAAAGCAGTGAGGATGACCGACCATGGGATATGCTATAAAACTTTCAGAGGTCTTAGGAATACAATGCATTCTTCTCAAGAATGGGATGGTATGCCCTTTGCTATAACCGTATCTATATCAACCACATTAAGAAAATTATTAAAGTACCAAAAATTTTGCTATTTTCTGTATTTCTTTTGCTATCAATCTCCTGTAATCGAACTACATTGCTGAAGGCTGATCAGATACCAGGAGAGATGTGACCACATGTCTAAGATCACATGTCTATTTCAAAACACAAGATAACCTCTGCCCTATAGAGCTGATCAACACAGCTAATGACAAGTGGCTACTCACCAAGCTGGGAAAAGTTGAATCTTGTTCCAGAGGGAGAAGTTACGCTAGAGCCAGAGGAAAAAGGGGAATTGGCAGCAGTGTCCTGCAGTCCTCCTGCAGAGTGGGACCGTAACCATTCTTTTGCGTCTTCTTGTGTACGAAGCTGGGAGGTGGGAGTATACCTGAACAGATAGAAATCATGCTAGAATTAACTATAAATAGCACCTATGAAACTGAATTCCGTGGAGCTGATGATAAATATATAAAAACAAATATATATCCAAAGATGATTTTTAAAAAATGAGATCTCTACACACCCCAAAAACTTATGAAGATTCTCAAAATACTTTTTGCTACTTGGCCACGTTTGGGGAAAATTATAATTCCTTTCACTTTGGAGGGAATAAATAAAGGGGAGAAGATTGGTAAATGCTCAAAAGAGCCGTCATGGGGCGTATCTGTAACATGTTGATTCATGGCAGTGTCATGTCAAAGCCCCCACCTTGACAGGACTGAAGCAACAAAACGAGCTGCTGCTAGAGCTTTGGGGAAGTTTTAATTAGATAACTCATGGCATTTGCATTCTACAGTGCAAATAAGTAGCTATGAATCACAGCATATTAGAAGCAGACATGAAGGCCTGAGGACACTGATATTTACAGTAGTTGCTGCAATCTAGCATAATGAAGTCTCTACAAAAGGAACCCCAGGGCTGGCTGGCTAG